TTTATTTGTTTTTAGAAAATAGTTACCCAGCATGAACTTTGATTACATGATGGGTCCCTTATATTAGTACAAAAATTTTTCTCCAAATTATATAAACCTGGGTCTTGAAAGAACCAAAATTTTAAAGAGATTTAAGAAAGAATGGCTTAAATAAAAGCAGTTAACTTAAGTTTTAAACAGAAAAGAAAAAAAAGCCATTAATAAAAATTGAAAATCATTTTTTTTTGACATTTTATAACATTTGTTTTTTAAAAAGTTTTTATCAAAAAAGATTGTGGAATATCTATGAGATTCTAGTTCTTTTGGAACCCAAGCTAATATACTTTTGGTAAAAATATTTTTTACTGATATATAAGACCAAGCAAGTAATCAAGAATCATGCTGGGTGATTTTTTTAGAAAAATAAATTAAATCAACAACTTTTTAGTTACTTTCAAACCAAAGTCAATAAGTTTTTCATAGGTCAACTGGGAGTACCCCAAATGTTATAACCTTAATATATATATATATATATATATATATATATATATATATATATATATATATATATATATATATATATATATATATATATATATATATATATATATATATATATATATATATATATATATATATATTAAATGTCCTTGAGTATCTTGAGTATAGATTTCTGTATGAAATCAGTAATGTTTTAAATTTAACAACATTTAGGAATAAATCCAAACAACTATTGATTAACAAATGTTTTTTTTACAGATTCTTAAATTATTTCTTCTAGAAAATGAAACATTTATAATTTATATAATTTAAAAAAAAAATTTTTAGATCTGTTTATTGTATCAGAGTAGAAGCGATTGCAGAAGAAGGAGGTTCCCCTATTACAATAAGTTCTCCATACGTGTATTGTCAGGTATGAAATTAATATATAAAATAAATTACTAAAAATTTGATTTTATTTTTTAAAAAGTTTTGACAAACTTTGATTAGTTTATAAAGCAAAAATGTTGAAGTCAAAAGTCAGCATATATTTTTTTGAATAAGTTTGTTATGTTTTATTTTTGCAAATTTTTGACTACTTTTAGGTTCCAGGCCCACCTGATCCACCATTTATTACATGTCATAATATCAGTAAACAAGGATTTGATATAGATTGGAATGAGCCACAGACATATGGGGGGAATGAAGTCGGGGGTTATAGTGTATGATTTTCATCAATATTTATATTATATATAGATTATGTATGTGTGTTGTTTCATTTCCAAGTTTATTTATGTTTCACTGCATATGTCAATTTTTGCTTTATATCATTTTAGTCCTTTTTTTTTTTTTTTTTTGTACTTCATTGTCAATACGTTATTTATTTTATGCTTTCTTTTTTGCATTTTCACAAATTGAACATACAAGTATGTACATTATCCACAAGTTCATATTCAATAATTTAGGTTGTTGTTAATGGAATGAAAATGGGTAAAGTCCTTCCAAGCATGTGCAGAAGTTGCACTATTCCGTGCAAGCCCGGACGGTTAGTAAATTTGCTTAAAAATACATACATACATACATACATACATACATATATACATACATACATACATACATACATACATACATACATACATACATACATACATACATACATACATACATACATACATACATACATACATACATACATACATACATACATACATACATGCATACATACATACAATATGTATATATTTATGTATGTATAATTTAATACAACAAGTCATTAAAAAAGAAGATATTAAGACGTTTAAAAACATATAAATGTATAATGGTGATGCACAATTTTATTTGCACAATTCTTTATTTGCACATGTTTTTTATCATGGCCATATATTATTAGACAAAGCTACGCTACAAAGGACTGTCATAAATTATATATTAGATTAAATATATGTGTGTATATGTTCCACTTTAAAAAATAACTATATTTATGTTTTGCATAACTTAAGAAGTTTTGTTTATCCTAAAAAATAGAATGAATCAGAAATGTAAGTGTGACCTGGGCCAGGGCCAGGTTTGACAAAATATTGCCGAGGTCGAGTTTGTGGCCGGGGTTGCATAAACATTTATACATCCTAAAGTATATTTTTTTATTCAAACTTCATTTTATATTCATATATATGAGTATATAAATATAATAACGATCAACATGATCATCATAATCACTGTTGCCATTATCATGATCATCATCATTATCATTAACTGGCTTTAGCCTTCCTTATTTATCCTATTTTTCTAATATAAACAATCTAAAGCATTTTCTTTCCTTAACTAAAGCTCATTCATGCAATATGTAAGAAAATTTCTTTAAGTTATCTATCGTCTATCTTTATCATTTAATCCTGAAGCTGCTACCTCTCTACATGATGATGCCTAAATCACTTAAATCTTCTCTAACAAACATTGTTTGATACAACGTTTTTTTTTTATATGTCCTTATAACTCTTCCATAATTTTATGTTTTGCTTTTATATACAATCTACAACTTTTTAAGTCTTCAGTTAACCATTTTCTAGCTTTTTAACCCTATCCTCTATTTTAAAGTAATTCATAACTTAATAGTGGTTGCTTGCAACCTTGTTGGAAGTAAATTAGAGTTTAAAAATATATAAATATTTTTGCCAGTATTTAATAAATAGTAAATATCATCCGGCTATCAACCCCTACTAAATCTTATAATTTTGCCAGGGCCGGGTTTGCAAAAAGTCTCATTTTAAGCTGGGGTTGGGGCTGGGGCCCTAGTCACTTCCTAAATCTAATACAGTAAGAGAAATTGAAGCAGCTTATTATTGCTTAGGTTTTGCAACAATCAACTTTGTTTTTGAAATATTTATTTAATATTTTGATAGAACATACAAAGTTTATGTGGTGGCTCTTAGTTCTGATCCTTCCTATACAAGTTCAGAAAAATCAAATGAACTTATAGTAAACACAATGTCTGAAAATGATGAAAAAAATTTAACTAAGAAGATTGAAGAAGTTATGCCACTTGCAGATATTCTACTTGAGGTTGTTTCTCTATATGAAAATGCAGTAGAAATAGCATGGGAAGATCCAGTTTTAGGTGAGGTTAATTTTTTAATCAATTTAGTAATTTTATTTTACTGATAATGTTTGTTGCCAGTTTAATCCCTATGGTTACTATGGTTTGGCATTTTTTAGATGGCAAACCATGGTAACCATGTAATAATATAACCTTTGTAATGCTTATATTATTTGAATAAAAAATATATAAAAAATTTTAAAAAACTTTTTAGATTTATTTGGAGAATATAAGTCTTCTCTTTGTATTTCTTTGTATTTTTATTTAATTTAATTTACAAAATTAAAGTGTGACCAAGCCTACAGAAAATTTTTTATTTGACTTTTGCAATTACAGTTACAATTGTGTTTTCCAAATAATTTATCCATAGTAACGTTACATTTTTTTTTTTGTTAGACAATATCTCCATGTTGGATCATTTCAATATACAGTGGACAACATCTCATTCAAAGGTTTTTGTATTCTTTAAATAATTGTATATATGTAAAAAGTATGTAAAAAAAGTTGATTATTATCCCTTGTAATATGATGGTCTACTATGACCTTTAAAGTTGATTTTTTTTTTTGTTTGAATTTAATATTATATTGATTTTTTTTTTTCTTTATTAATAGATTAACTCAGCTAATTTGGACGCTTCACATCATGACTATTATATCTCTAATATGTCTGCTGGTGAAACAGTATTTATAACTGTTTCTGCGTGCAGTAAAACTGGTGCTTTAATTGCAAAATCACGTCAGCTGGAAACTCAGACTGTTGCAAATATTGAAACACCAGTACTAAGGGTTGGGTAAGAAACATTTTTAATTCTTTTTATTTATTTGATTTTTGGTATCTTTTATGTCTTTTAGATTTTTAGTTTCATATTTAAATTATGTCTTAGTTAAGCCTAGTTTTAACTTTCTTAGAATTTTTTTAATTGTAAATCAAAAAACTAATGTTTAATTTTAGATCTTGTTCTGGTGCAATGCTTAATATAGAGTGGAAAACTCCAAAAGTGTATGGAGATGCTCTGATAGAAAAGTATGTGCTTCGATTAGATGGTGTTGACTATGATGCTGATGTTAACAAAGATGCAAATACATATCAATTCATTTCCTGTGAACCTTGTTGCACTTACAGTTTTCAACTACAGGTGTTATATTCATTTGGCTTATATATACATATAGCTCTATGTTTAATACTACACACACACAGATATATATATATATATATATATATATATATATATATATATATATATATATATATATATATATATATATATATATATATATATATATATATGTATATATATATATACATATAGCTCTATGTTTAATACTACACACACACAGATATATATATATATATATATATATATATATATATATATATATATATATATATATATATATATATATATATATATATATATATATATATATATATATATATGTATATATATATATATATATATATATATATATATATATATATATATATATATATATATATATATATATATATATATATATATGTATATATAAATATATATATAAATATATGTATATATATTTATATATCAGGCTATAAGTACAAAAACTGGGTACAGTAGTGAATTTTCAAAAGAATTGTTTGTTACATGTCCTGGTGCGATTGAACCAGAACTTTGTCGTATTAAAACTCCTGTTGTAAACTGCATCAAAGTATGCTGGAAAGCACCAGAACTAAAAGGGAATGCCCAAGTTGCAAATTTTTGGGTGCGTAAAATAAATGTTATTAATTTTTGAGTTAATTTATAAATAAAGAAGAAATATTTTTTTAATTATTTTTATTTGTGTTTTTTTTTTTATTTTTATAGTTTATAATTTTTGTTATTAAATTATTACTATTATAATTATTATAATTTTAGTATGGAATCTTTTTATATTTTAGGTTTATTATTCTCCTGCACAAAGTGGTGTTTTTCAAGTAACAGCAAGTGAAGTCATTAACCATCCTGGAGCTATTGCACATGGGCCTCTTTCAAATAAAGTTTATGAAGATAGTTTGACAGGAATTAATCCATGTGATATGTACAATGTTGTATTACAGGTTGATTTATTGCCAGGTAATATTATAGCTTTCCCGCTTTTTGTCTATTGATCAATAAACAAAAGTTTTTTTATCAATTTTTGTTTATTTTCTCAACTTTTAGTCAAAATTTTTGTTTTTCAGCGGACTGCAGTAGTGTTTTTTCATCACCTCTACGAACCAAAGCAGCTAGTCCTCCTAACCCACCAGCTATCAGTGCACAAATTCTTGGAATGGAAGAGAGAATTTTTTTAGAAGAGCTTTTGCAAAAGCTTATATCTGTTAGAGATAGGTGCGTTTAAGTTATTTTTTTAAGCTCTGCTTATTTCACTCAGTTATTGTTTTATGTTTTGCAATATTTTTTAATTTGTTAGTTGTGTTCAAACTTTTAGAATAATGATTTGATAGGTTGGAAATGAATGTTTTAGACCTTGGAACAAAAGAAATATTTAAATTAAATAAATTTTTAAAGTTATATCATACCTTGTACATCTGTTTTGTAAGTACAATAGAATTATAAAATGCAGACAATATTAAAAATACAGGGATTAGTTGACTACATGAATTTGTTTCTGAGTGTGTTTACTATTAAAGATTTTTATGAATTATTATTTATGAAATTAGTCAGGGCGTTTAATAACAAAAACACTTTAAAATTTTTTTTTATTATTAATATGTAATTACAATAAATAAATGAAGTAAATAAAAGTAAAAATAAATAAGTTGATAATAAAACTTTTAAATAAAGATATTTTTTATACCAACAGCAACCATATTACTTGTTTTGATACATTAAAATATTTCTCATTTTTTAAGTTCTGAACATTTATTCTGCTTGTATTTTTAATTTATGAAAACCTAAATTATGGAAATATTAAGTGTTAAAATGTAAGTTAACCTTGTCATATTTAAAACTTTATCAGTAAAGATACTTTTCACCAAGAATTTTTTTATATATAAAATTAAAAAACTTCCAGCTATTAATTATGGTTGATTATTGATTATTTGCCTATGATGATAATCACAAAATTACACAATTAGATCTTTAAGCTAGAGAAAAAAAAGATGTAAAATTTTCAAAATGCCATACCATAAGTGCTATAGGTATTTTTAATGCAGATTTGTGTTAGAACTTTTGGCTCACAAATAAGATATTCAAGGTTCAAATCCACTCTACATCTTTGAAAGTACATATATATATATATATATATATATATACACATACAGATATATATACGCATACATACATATATATATATACACATACATATATATATATATATATATATATATATATATATATATATATATATATATATATATATATATATATATATACATATATACACATATTTATAAATTAGATTGTGTCGTGAAGTCAACAGCTTAAGAAGTACAGTAATAATAAAACATGTTGCTGATCGAGACTATGAACTGACTCGTCTTTTTCATATTCTTTCTAAAATTGATGTACGAATCAAGCAAATTATGAAAGAAATAAAAACCTACACAGGTATGGTTTATTTTGTATTCACTTGGTATTGAAAATACTCAATTAAGATGTTTTATAATTTCTATATTTGTGGGCTTTTTTAATTTTCTCATTATCACACCATTACTACCACCATAATCACTTCAATCCACCACATGGTTGTCACCATCTTTGTCATAATTATAATCACCATCATTATATTTTTTTTTTATAATAAGTTATATTAGTTATTTATAAATTTTAGGTCAGGTAAAAGTTTTGTTATCATGGAACTTCCCTGGTCATGATGAAGATGCTACTGCAAGTGGATTTCAAGTACTTATTGACAATAAGCAGTATGGTCCTGATTTGTCAGTTCATACAAATAGTGCTGTTGTTGAGGTTTTTAAATTTAATGTTAAAAATATTGTAACATTTTAATTTTGTTTAAATCACCTGAATTATTAATTCTGATACTGCCAACTTAGATTGACAAATTGTAAACACATATAACAAACATAAAACATTAAACGCATAGCAAACATAAAACATTAAACATGTATAACATTATTAAATAATTGATTTGGTCATGTTCTGTTAAATTTATCTAAAATTATTTGTGTTTTTTATTTTTTAATCAAGTTGCCATGCGATACCAAAGTACACATGATTAGTGTTATTACTACAACACAGCATCCTGTTGGTAGTAGTGGGTATTCGAACACTGTTAGTATAAACAGTGATGAGTTCCTTCCATTTTCATTTTTTTGTTACTTTGAAAGTCACATTAAAGGAGCTGGGTAAGAATATTTTTTTAATATTTTATTATTTAGCTAATTTTACAATTATACATACAATCCTTCTTAAATCTTTAAACTCAGGATCTATTTGGTATGAGGCTTACAATTAAGAAAATTTAATATTAAGGTGATTTTACATTAAAAAAAAGAAATTGAACATAATTTTATAAAACAAAAAATGAAATAATAATAAAGAATGAAAGAAAAATCCCACCTTATTTATTGTGTTATTAATAAATGAATGAGTATAATAAGTAATGACAACGTGATCGTTGCAATGCAACTTTATATAATTCAAATATAACACAAAAATGCTTGAAAACGCATTTATTTTTTATTTTTCTTACCTCCATTACTCAAATATTGTAATAAATTATGATCAATGCAACTTCATATATCTACAACACTATCTGTTTATTGAGTGTTAAAAAATATGGTATTAATCAATCTGGTAAAGTTTTTTTTTACTTTATGTTTTTTGAATGTTTTCAGTAAAACAGAAACAGAAAAAAATCGTTTTCGTTAATTTCAGTCCATAAATCTTTGATTGAGATAAGATCTGGTTATCTAAACCAATCAAAAATGTATGGACTTTGCTTTTAGGTCATTTGATTACCTTGCAATCTAATTTTCTATTTTGTTTCTACCATTATTTATTTTTTTAACCATATTAATATGGTTTTTGCTTTGTGGTAAGAAACATTTTGTTCCAAAACAATTTAGAGTTGTCCATTTAAAAATTTTTGTTTATTGGAATTGTTTTCTTGAGTTTTGATGTGCTGATTCATTCTTTTTTTTTTCAAATAAGCAAAGACAAATTGATCTATCTTAAGTAATCCATATTCATACTCTACCACGTTCACCATCCACCACTTCACCACATTGAAATTGTAAGGCAATATAGCAAGTATTGTATTTTTCTTTGAACAAAAAAATTATTTTTGGTTCAGACAAAAGAGTTTGCTTCATCACTAAATATAATTTTTTTAAATTGAAATCTTTTTCACAAAAAAGATTTATAAGTTATAAGACACCTTTAGATTTTGGTCATTGGTTGACCTTTAGTCAAAATTCACTAAAGGTCAATCAACATTGGCCTTTAGATTTTGGTCATTAATTCGAACTTTCGGTATTGAAATCAGGTTTTCACGAGCTTGTGCTACTTTAAATGCTCAATTGAAATTTTGGACATATGTTGTGTTTAAAATGTGGGTTTTTGGAAAATTAACTCTGCTAATTGTTAATGAAATTTAAACTTGAGTGTGACACAATTTTGGGCCAAAAAAAACTTTTTTTTTTAATTTTTTTTATCAAATTTTTAATTTTTTTTTTTTTTTTGGATCAAGGATTTTAAAGGTCATTTTTAATGCTTGCATACTGACCGTCTTGCTTCCGTTTTGGGCATTTGATGGGCATTTGATTCCGTTTTGGGCATTTGATAACATGATTTTTTTGAATACTTTTTTTTGGATATTTTATATATGAAATACCCAAAAATTTATGAATTTAAAAAAAATTATAAATTTATAAAAAGCCTGATCAGCTTGAAAATGTAAAAATTGAAAATCTCAAATTAGAACTTTGATAACTTCTGTCACATGTTGTGTTTATAAGAACGAATAAGAAACCATCCTTGAGGAGGGAGGCAAACCACTAATAGCTTTATCAATATTTTATAGCAATTTTTAAGCAATTATAGCAATTATTACTAGGTAACGTTAGCTTGAGCATGTTGTTCATTATAATCAGGGGGAAGAGGGGTTGTTATTTCTTCTATAACATAAAAAAAGTAAAGAAAATAGTTAAATAGTGCTATTTTTGTTGATACCTCCCTCTCCTTCGTTCATTCTCTCGGTTGTAAATAATCCCTCTTGTAAATATTCTTTAAAGTATATATATCCTAAAATATAATTTCTTAGTGTTATTGTTTTTTATTTAAGATATTCTCAATCGAGTTGCTGTAGTTATGAAAATACCCTAAATTTGGACTCAAGCCGAAAATATGATAAACCAGGAAAAGCAATTCCTTATCGTGGCTTTATAAAAAATGGTGTTGCTGCTCCATTAGTACAAGGTGTTGAAATTAGAAGCTTGGAATGGAAACCATTGGTGGAGAAATCTGGGAAACCGACATTTGTTTTGTTTTGGACAAACTGGTAAATTTTGATTTTTGTTCAATTCAAACATTTCAAAAAGTTTATTGAATTTATGTTTGCTTTTCTTTATAAATATTATAATTCCTTATTCTAGGTGTCGACCATCTGTTCGGCTTCTCCATCTTCTGACTAAATATGCTGATGAAAATCCATACAATGTAATTTCCTAGTTTGATTATTATAGCTATTCATGTTATTTTACTTTTGTTGTTATTTTACTAGATAGGTAGATTTAAACATATTTTTAATGTTGATTTAGTTTGCTTTTGTTACTTGCTGCACTCATAGTGGTGAATCTTCCAAATCTCATTTGTCAAAGCTACAAGAAATTTATAATGAAAATGGTTGGTCAGATATGTCGTCAGTCCGTCACTTATGCACCTGTGAACAAAACGTTGATAGTCTTCTTGTACGGCGTAGTATATCTGGCAATACCCTCTCTCTACCTACAACCGCTGAACTATTTAACATCGTAGGAGTACCATCTATAGTTGTTTTGGATGCAAAAGGCAGATTTATTTTTTATTTACATTTTTGATCATTTTGAAAAGTGCTTTTTACAGTTTAGTTGTGTTACGCTGTGTGTTGCTATATTCTCTCTTTCATACTTTGTAGCAGTAATGATGTGAGTTCCTGAATGGAAATAATCACGTGACAAAATATGTATAATAATGTGCGTTACTACAAAAATAAACGTAATAAATTATATTTATTAGTTGTTTTTTTTATGATAGGTTATGTATCTTGGCAAGGAAGAATATGTGCATTAAACTATCAATATTTTGGTAACTTTGTATCTCACGTATGGAGTCAGGTAGTTCATCAACCATGCGAGGTTAGTTAAAGAAACTTTTAAACACTTTAGGTTACATTGTAACGTTATAAACTTTTCCAAATGAGTTTAAAGATAAGAAAAACTTAGCTCTTAGTACACAGCTAAGTTTTTCTTATCTTGTATATAAGTGTATATAGTCATTACACATCGTAATCTAGACCAGCGCTGGCCAAACGTTTTGTCACAAGAGCCGCATTTATATACTTACGTGAGCCGAAGAGCCGCAACAACTTCATGTTTGTTTTTTTATATAAGAAACTTTTATTCTCTTTCTTTTGATTATCTGAATTTTAAGAGACTTTCGTACTAGATAAGTAAAAAAACTACCCAAAAAATAAGAAATTTCTAGTACTAGCCCATTTTCTTGGTTTCATATAAAAACAACAATTTGTAATTCACTATTTAAAATCATTTTTTAAAGAAATATTTTTAGAAAATACAAATTATTTAGGAAATTCCATATGCTCCTAAGGGGTAGAAATAATTGTTGTATCACTATTCAACAATATCATTTTAATATGAAATTTAGATATTTCTTGGATACAAAATATCATTTTTTAAAGATTTAAGTAAAATATGTATACAATTGAATTTAGTTAATTGTTTTAAAACACTCAATAAATTTTTTAAAGAAAAAACTATTCCTTTAAAGATTTTGTTTACAATGCCATTATATCTGATTTATTTTATAAAATTCCCTTCAGACTAAAAAATCATTTCTATAGTTTTCGACAATCACATGATCACACTGATTTTGCACAGCACACGATTAGGTGCTGTGCAACACACTGGCCATGTGCTGTGCAACACACTGATCTTTTTTATGATAGATTTTTGCACAAGCGCATGCTGATCATAAACTTTTTTTTGATTAACAAAATTATAACAATGCTTATATCAATGAAATAATAATTAAAAAACCAACACTAAAATTAGATTATTTTACTTGATTTTTACAATCAAGAAATAACTTTTTCATCATTTTATCAATTTTTTACTTTGATCAAACTAATACTCATAACTTTACTGGTAAGTTTCTTAAAATCTGGTTTCAAACTTGTAGTGGCTGTTCTAAGTAATTCAGACAAATGCTCGTTGGTTAGATTTGCACAATACTTTGATTTGACAAATTTCATAGTAGAGAATAAAGATTCACATGTATACGTTGAACCAAAAATTGAAATGAATTTTATGGCAATCTTTTTAAGTTGAGGATACTTAACCTCGGGAACTATCTTCCAAAATTCCATAAAAGTTATTGTTTTATGCAGCATAAGTAGATTTTGATCTTCTTGGAGATTTTTGAAAACTAAATATCGTTTGTGCAAGATCAGATATATTTTTTTCTTTTCCCTGAAGAAACAAATTCAGACTTTTTAAATGTTGCATTATATCAGTCAAAAATAAAAGATCTTGCACAAAATTTATATCGTCTAGGATTTCAAATGTCTTTTCTTTTTCAATCAAAAAACATTTAATTGGCTCTAATAGTTCTACAAATCTATAAAAAACGTCACTACTTGAAAGCCATCTTACAGAACAGAAAAATGACACGTCACTTGGCTCGTCAGCAAGATCCAATTCATTTATAAAGTTTCTAAACTGTCTGTGATTTTTTGCATTTGCTCGAATATAATTTACAATCTTTAAAACAGATTTAAAAACAATTGGAAAGTTAAAATGTTTTGCAGCTAAATGTTCTCGATGAACAACACAATGAATTGGGATAAATTCTGGATACTTAGGGTCACTTTTTAATAAGCCTATAAGTCCTAAATGTTTTCCAGCCATTGCTGATGCACCATCTGTAGCAACACTAACAAGCTTGTTGATAGGTACATTAGCTTTAAGCAGAGCTTTGTCAAGGGCTTCCTTGATATCAACTCCACGAGTTGTGTCTTTCAACTCAACTAAATCTAGTAACTCTTCTTTTACAATTACGTCTGAAGTCACATATCTAACGAATACAGCCATTTGAGGCTTGTCTTGAATATCTGTTGATTCATCTACAGCTAAACTAAATGCTTCACAGTTTTTTAAATCGTTTAGTAATTGCTGTTCAACATCAATACTAATCTCAGATATTCTTCTTTCGGTTGTATGTCGAGAAATAGGATTTTGTGATACTAATCTTTGGATTTTGCTATTACTAGGATCTAAAACCGACAGGACATCTGAAATGTTTTGCTTTACAAATTCTCCATCGGTATAAGGATGTTTACCTCTGGCAATATTCCATGCTATAACAAAACTTGCTTCTGTTGTATTAATTGATTCTTGGCTGTAAGATGAAATATTTAGTTGTTGATTTTTATTTTTCGTTTTGAGCAATTCAATTTTATTCTTTCTGTAATTTGAACATAACGGATATTCTTCAGAAAATTGTTTATGTTTTGTTTCATAATGACGTTTAACATTGCATGTCTAGTTATGAGCAAGTTCTATATTGCAAATTAAACACATAGGTTTATTGTTTCTTTCAATAAATGCATATTTTTCTGTCCAATCATTATGAAATATTCTGTTTTCGTATTTAATTTTTCTTTTCCGCCTTATTTTGCGAAGCAAACTAGTGTTAACTTTTACTTTATCCATTTTTGCAAGTTTTAAGACAATAAGAATGATGGAAATAATTATATGGAAATATATTAGCATATAACAATTTGGAAAAAAGCCGTATGCGGCTCGCGAGCCGCCTTAACATTCCAAGAGCCGCATGCGGCTCGCGAGCCGCCATTTGGCCATCCCTGATCTAGACAATATACACTTATATACATTAGATGTATAGCGCATCAGTCGTGCTGATTTAGTTAGCAATATTTTTGAATTAAAAGCAATATATAAATGTATTAATTGTAAAGTTTTATTATAAGTATCAAACAGGGTGCATTCAACGCCCTATAATTTCAAAAATTGATCTGTCCCTATTTTTAAAACTTTCTATTGGTTCTCACAAAGAATTCTTTTAAAATTTTTTCAAGTTAAATAAGATTTATTTAACTTGGAAAATGAATAAGTCTTAAACTTGCAACGAGACCTGAAACGCAAAAAAAATAGTTTTTCGAAAGTTTTTTATGTTGGGTCTCAAAAGAAGCGAAACTTTATAAAAATTTCAAAAATAATTATCATTTTTTGTTATAAAATCTTGAAAAAAATTTTTGACAAAAACCATAAAAAAATGTTGTTTTTTTTATCATTTTTCGTTAAAAAATAATAATTTTTATGCAATAAAACTTAAAATAATAATTCTTGTGTAAAATTTTTATTATTTTTGAAATATCTATAAAACTTTGCTTCTTTTGAGATCCAACATGACATAAATTTGAAAAACTTTTTTTTCTTCTGTTTAGGGTCTCATAGTGAGTTTCAGACTTAAGGTGCCCCCCCCCCCCTAAATCTTATTCAGTTTTAAATAAAATTAACAAAGCGAAAAAAAGCGACATCTAAAAACGTTTTAAACGACTCTAATAAAATGAAAAAAATTTTCAATAGGTTCGAGATTGCTGTTTGTGCACAGCTGAATCACGCCAAGAACGTTATCTTGTTGATGAAGATCTTATGAATGATCTGGTTGATACGTTACCGCATTCCAAGTCTAAAGCAACGAAAAAATCAGTTTCAGGTTTATCACAGGCTAATCGAGGTCGGAAGAATTTAAAGACCAAACCTCCTAAATTTCACAATCCATATGAGGAAGAAAGCATTCATGAACTTTTTACTCGGAGTCGCAAGGCTAAACGCAGCAATTCGATATTTCCATTAATAGAATCAGATCGAAATTTAATACGAATTGAACCCCCTAAAAAGATTACTCCGTCTAGCGAAATTAACACTTTGAGGTCATTAGCATCAATAAGTTAAAACTTTTTTTACTTTTAACTGTTTGTGAGCATGAACCCATAATTATGTACTGGAATTTACTTTAAGCTCATTGGGTAAGAGCTTAAGTTACTTAATTAGAAGTAAAAGTTGTAATAAGAAATATGATAAGCATGATTCCTAATATAATTAATGTGTAATATAAAAAATATGATTTGTAAATAGCTAAAGAAAAAAAAAATTAACTGATTTTAACTTTTGTTTTCCTTTTAATTCGAGGGCGTAAAACAACCTTAACTACAAAATTGCTCTTTTTCAGAAGAAGACAAACGATTTTTCATTCATTAAATCTTTCATTAATCTCTATGAGTTCAAAACAACAATTGATCTTTATAACATGACACTGTCGTCATGACATATTGTCATGACACTGTTGTCGACTTGTTATTGTTGCAGACTTTGAATCTGCAAAGGTTTTCTAAAAAAATAGTTGTCTTTTTTTTTCTTTTTTTTTTATTAAAAAAAAAAAACACACTCTACTCGTGTAGTGTGATCCATTAATAATTTGAACCTAACAGTCTTCAAACAACTTTCTGTTACATATAGACATAAGTCCATAAAATATCAAGGTATAAAATCTTGGAATAACCTTACCAATGACCTAAAAACTTTCGAGTCAAACTATGATTAAAAAAAATTAATCTACTCTTTCCTAAATAAACAAATTTAATATTTCCAAAAATATGTGTATGTATTTAAGTGCGTGAGTGAGTGTGTGCGCGCGCGTTTTGTATATATGTGTGTATTACTAGTATTGTTAGATTATTATTTTTGTTATGACTATTTTTATTAATATTATTGGAGTTATCGTTATTATTGTTGTTATCGTTATTATTACTTCTTCCACTCGTATTAAAGCTATTACGGCTGTTTAAATATATATTATATATTTTTATTTTGTTGTTTTTTAATTTAAAATATTTTAACTGCAATTATTAACATTTAGGCTTGCTTACTCTAACTTTTGATGTTGTTACTTGCTTATTCTAACTTTTGATGTTGTTACTTGCTTACTCTAACTTAATTTTGATGTCGTTTCGTTTAATTGACACTGACAATAGTCAAAGTCTTTTTGTTACAGTATGCAAACTTCAGAAATTTCTCATCAAATTCATGAATTGCTTTTCCATCGTCCACGCAAGACGTCACACAGCAAAGAATGAGCAGTACTCGTACAACATGGAGTAATATCAACAATAACTACTTAAACAATTGGGCAAACAATATCGAGAAGAAGAAGAACAAGGACTTTCAAAAATGATTTTTGCATCATTTTTAATACAACTCGGAATTACTGTATTTGAATAGATGATATTAATGCACTTATTTTTCATTTCATCAAAGTCCAATTCAACCATCAAATCAAGAAAATTGGTAAAAAATTTTAAGTTTGTCACATCGTTTCCTACGTTATTCTTTCTACAGCAGTCTTCTGAAAGAATTATATTGCAAGTAATATAACTCTTTTACTTCGGCTATGGTTTTAGCAATGGTCATGGAGTTAGCAGTTATTTTACGCCTCAACATCTTTTAATAGTGTAAATAAACGTCATAGTCATTTTCCATCAACAACTTTCAAATGAGCTTGTAATTGTTTACTGTCGTGCATTGAGTACGTGCACGAATACTAAAGCTTCTTTAGAAAAAAGGTCTTTGGTGCTACATTATACCTGCTTATAGCCTTTCCTCATTTTCTCTGCTCTCAGTGGAGATCTTTTAATTTAAAGTATCTTTATTTTTTTTATTTTTATTGCAGTTGTATAAGCAACTTTAACAGCTCTGACATAAACTTTTTATGTCAATCAAATAAGGCATGGAACAACTCCATTCCAATTTTTTTTTTTTCTGTTTGTTCTTTAGACGTTAATGAAATGAATAAAATGAAAGCTCGTTTTATACTTCTGATGAAAGTGTGCTTTAAAAAAATACCTTGGTTTCGGTTATAATAATAGATAATGTCCCCAACCAACTCCTCAGACTAAAGTAGCACAAAAAAAAGCGAGTTTTCTTGTGCTACTTTAGTCTGAGGAGTCGGTTGTTTTTGAAAATTTGCAAAATTTTAGACAAAAAAACATTTTAAATCATCTAGCTCCGGTCACGTGACTAGATGACAAATTTATGAGATTTACATTTTAATTTTTTTTGCTTGCATACAATGAATCATTACGACAAAACAAACATAGTGACAAAATACTATTACTTCATGGTTTTCATAACTTTTATCATCTTGCCTCGTTGTGGTTAAAAAAAAAAAAAAAATTAAACAACGATTAAAGTTTAATCGTTGAAATTTATAAATGTTTCGTATTATAAAGTTTAATTTAAACTTTATAATACGAAACATTTATAAATTTCAAGCTTCTTTGATCTTTATCACTTTAATTCGACCACCTGCATTACTTACTCACGACCTACTATAAGATCTCATAATAGAGCGTGTTATTAGCATAATAGAGCGTGTTATTAGCACTCCAAGATGTTATGCGCCATAGGATTTCTTTGTTAATGGCTTTTATTAATACATGCATACTAATTGATTTTCTGATGTTAATTTATAGAGCATACGTTTCATATTAGAGTATTGCAAACTTTGATTATGCGTAGCTATTTAACTATGTTATAAGGCCTGTTAACTAAGTTTTTTTTTTTTATTGTAGTGTCTGTTTTGCATGACTTTCTCCAACGATATTTTTCATTAAAATATTTTTGTTCGTTAGATTATTCATATTTTATCTTTTTTTTTAAAATTTCAATTCAATTAAACATAAGATGAGTTTTTTCCGGGAATTATCGGAATTCTAGAAATTCACTTTAATTTCCTTTGAAGTTTCCGAAAATTTCTGAGTCTTTTTCGCTATTGATTTGTAAAAAAATTAACAATTTTCTCATAACACAATAACAAAAAAATTCGGAAATTTTCGTAAAAAATAAAAGAACTTTAAGTGAATTTCCGGAATTTGGAAATTCCCAAAAAAAACTCATCTATTAATTTAATATCGGTACAAAATTGATAGAAAAGATTGGGAACAAATTCATAGATTCAGCTTAAGAAAAGACAAAACATGCCCTTCAGTTTGAGAAAAGACAAAACAAGACAAAGCCCCAATGTCAAAACTATTTTTAATTTCACTTGTTTGCTCATTTTAATCCCTTATTATCAATAATTCTTTTTTTGAAACTTTTTTTGCGAATTTAAAAAATTTCCTCTTATATAGTTATGTAATTTTTCTGATAAAGTTTTTGATTCTTACCGTTTTTATTCCTTATATATATATATATATATATATATATATATATATATATATATATATATATATATATATATATATATATATATATATATATATTATATATATATATATATATATATATGTATATATATATATAAACAAAACACTATAAATAACATCATTCAGCGGTGTCAGATTCGTTATCACTTTTTTCAATTTCATAGTTATTTAATACTTCAGCGGCATTATCCTTATTAGTTTTTTTTTCTTAAGCTTTGGAACTTTTAAGTGTCAAAAAAAAAAAAGCAACAAAAAAAAAAAAAAAAAAAAATTGGACGAGTTTTTAGAAAATAAACAAAACACTATTTCTAAATAGCATTGATATAGCTGGACGATCTGTCTTAAAATCCTTCTTTAATATTTCAAAGCAAAGTAGAAATTATCTACATTCTTATTTCAAAGTAGACGCTGTGTCAGACATTCTTTTTCGCAACAAGTTAAATCTATTTATCAGGCTTTTAAACAACCCCATATGTTACTCGATTATACGGACTCAGATGCCTTTAATGAATCAACGATCATTTGTGGGTGAGGTAATGATAATGTGTAAGAAAGCTGATATAAACATGCTCCAATTTATGATCGAGGGTAAGAAAATTATAATTGCACGCCCTCAGGAAGCATTGGAGGCCAATGTTGCGGCGATCTTAAAACAATCGTTCCAACACTGGAATTTAAAGGAACAAAGAGAAGTATTTAGAACGCTGATGGAGGAAAACATTCCAAGAACGATGCAAGAAAATACTTAAATGTGCTTTGTTTTTTTTTTTTTTTTTTTTTTTTTTTTTTTTTTTTTTTTTTTAATACTTTTACCTATAGTTTTTGTAATTATTGGGTGTTTAAAAGAATAAATATACTATAAATAATATTATATTAAAAAACTAATGGTAATTATATAAAAAAGTATAAAAAGTGCAATATAAAAATAATTTTAAAAAATTGAAATGAAAATTAAATTACAGCTAAAGAAAATTTTGACACAAATATTTGATATCTTACTGTCGAAAATATAATTTGAATCGTTGTCATTCGTTTGACCATCTTCGTCATTTTTTATATTTTTTAAAATCAAAAGGATCGTTTATAAAAAAACAGAAAATTATTTCAAAATCATTAAACTTTACTTTTAAAACCATAACCTAACTTCCGTAAACCCGGAAACGCATTTGGATGCTTTTTGAAATAAAGAAAGCTTCCAACAACCAAAATAGCCAAAACCACAAAGCAAACAACTACGCCAATTATAATGTTTCGAGTTTTATAGTCTTTGTTTTTCCGTGCAATGTAAATACCACCTAAAAAACAGGAAAAAAGTAAAACCTAAACAAAGGTATTTGTTCAAACGCTCAACTTTTTCGCTTACCTTTCAATGTTTGAAACTGAGCAAGCGTACTACTTAAAGAAGTAACAGGGATATTTTGCCAGTTAACAAAATCCTCAGAACGATAAATTGTAACATCACGTGAAAATACTTTCATTTTCATGGTTACTTCTGCTCCGTTTGCAAGCTGACCAAAAGGAGTTACTTGCAAAAAGTTACTACCGTCCGTATTTCCAACATTAACATATCCTCCTAAAATCAGGCTCATTTAATGAAAACATTATTTCTGAAACATAGCTCGATTAAGCAAGTCTTTAGCTATATATAATGTACTAAACAGGTTAAATAATCTCATTTTTTCTTGTAGGTACACTAACTCCATTTACATATCAAGCTAGCTTGATATGTAATTAGAGTTTAGCATGCACCAGTATGTTATCAACGCCCCCGTCTTTCTACTTCTGGTGTACAAATTTTTCAAATAATTAAAAACAATAAAAAATTTTAGTTACTCTATAATTCTCTGTTACAAAACATAATTCGGATTTGCTTTTGATGCTTGATATAATTTGCATACAATACTTAAGTTAAAAAAAATAATCAAGATTTAGGAGAGATAAAGACCGAGAGTCAAATCGCACACACACACACGCACACACACACACACACACACACACACACACACTGATCACTGCATTTTTAGTTAAAGGGTTCATTGGCTTGAGCACAAGGTTGGTATTGAAGTTGATTCTTTCTGCGCAGTTTTGAACAAAATGTGCTTTGAGTTGTTGAGTTGTTCAGAGTGTTTCTTAGAAAATTATAATTTGAACACTTAGAGTTTAGTTGACGCTGAGGGACTGTGAAACCTTTTTATGTACTTCATATATAACTTCTTAAATTTAGGCTGAAATTAAATTTTTTTATTCCCTCTAGAGGATTCCAAGTCAAGCGTCACTCTTCTATATGGTTTACTTTCATTGTGCTGTTGTAATTTCCAATTCTAACCATTACTTCCATATCAATCAGTAAAACAATTCTCCAGAAAACAGATGTCTGTTTATTATTGCTAGAAACCGTTGTAAAAAGGTTTTGTCTTGCATCAAAGATCGCTATTCTGAGGTCACGAAATCTAGTTTTTCATCTCAAAAATTAGGCTCCCGAGATTTCTGGAAAATTTTTAAGAGTGTCTTTAATAAGAGCGAATATGTTATTCCACCTCTTATGCATGGTTCAGATTTTGTTACCTCACCTAAATACAATGCTGAATTGTTTACTAAGTACATCATCAGTCTCATCTCTTGATTCCATTAATCACATTCTACCTGATATAGCTAACAATCAGGTCCAATGCTTGACATTCGTACCACTCCAACTTCTGTTTCTAAAATGATTTTCTGCTCAGACTCTTCTACAGCTTGTGGTCTGGACAATATACTGGTTATAGTCTTGCATAAGTGTTGCGCCAGAGCTCATCTATACTTTCAAAACTATTTAACAAGTGCTTATCAGAGCTTTGTTTTCCAGCCTGCTGGAAAGCGTCATCTTTTATCTCTATTTTCAAAAACTCTGGAGAGCAATCTGACTTGTCTAACTACTACCTCATTAGTCTTCTTCCTATCATAGGCTAGGTTTTTAAGTCTCTAATTAAGAAACACTTAATCTATCATCTCGAACCTAATAACTTTCTGATCATCAATATGGATGTCGATCTTCTTGTCCTACTGATGATTTGTTAACAGTAATATTGTTTTTATTATTACAATTTGTTATTTTATTTATACATGTCAATCAGCTATTTACATTTATACATTTTATAAATATATTTATTTTTTATATTTTATATATTTATCATTATATATTCATTTATATATATATATATATTAGGATTAACTCTTACTTCCCATCTTTCTTGGAAACCATATACCAAATCCATTGTAAAATTAGCATCTGCTAAGGTCAATTCTCTTTATTGTGCTCCCCACTTTCTTACTCTGGATTCTATTCTTTAGCTATATGAATCTCTAATCCCCATAGAATACAGCTCACATATTTGGAGCGGATCTTCGAATGATGCCTTTTTTTTTAAACAAGGTGCAAAAACGTATTGTAAACATTGTAGGACCTACTCTTGCAGTCAGCCTACATTGTAGGACAGTCAGCCATTGTAGGACCTACTCTTGCAGTCAGCCTACACCCATTGTCACATCGTCGTAACATATTAACAACTTCTCTTTTTCTTTTCCATAAATACTAAAATGGGAATTGCGCTAAAGATCTAGCGTCTCTTGTGCCATCTACAAAAGTTCATCTTCGTGTTACTCGTAATTTAACCAAGTCTCATATTTTTAACGGGACTGTTCCTAAGTGCTCCAAAAATTCTTATTCGCCTAGTTTTTTTTCTGCAAAGATCAGTTCTTTCAAATTTGTTCCCATTACTTTGTTTTTGTAATTCCTTTAACTTGCAATTATTTGCAAATTAAATTATGTCTATTAATTAACACCTTGATCTGTAATAAGTAAGAAGTACCTTTGTGCGTAGTTTTCTGTCAGGATGTCAAAAATTTCAAGTAGATTTGTGACTTTTCTCTTTTTTTAATTCTGTATTGATTAATTTACATATTCTTTAATTGCATGGTAGTCAGAGAGTTTTTCCCATAAACCGTAGTTTTAAAAAGCGCGTTGATAAACCAAACCATAAAAAGTTTAAAAACTTAAACAATTTTTTTTCCTTAAATTATAGATTGTTTGCCCAAACCAAACCCTCAGTCGATGTAGCAGCACTCCCTTGCGAGTCAGGCTGTTTGTCAGTCGATGTAGAAGCACTCCCTTGCAAGTCAGGCTATTTGTCAGTCAATGTAGCAGCACTCTGTTGCAAGTTAAATTATAAGATAGTCGATGTAGCAACACTCCGTTGTAGCAGCAGGCTATAAGATAGTCGATGTAGCAACACTCCGCGCATGTTTTAAAAATATATTTTAATGAAACAACAACAAAAACACTATTAATTAAAAAAAACTTTCTAGTCATTATTATTGTGGTTTTTTCAAAAAACAATAAAATTTAATTTACTTCCGCATTAATTTAATTCCTTTGACATTTTGACGACAATAAAATGTAGCTTAATTGTTGAGATAGCAAAATTATAGTCTTTTTCGACTACGATATAAGGATATATATATATATATATTTATATATATATATATATATATACATATACATGTATATACATATATATATATATATATATATATATATATATATATATATATATATATATATATATATATATATATATATATATACACACACACACACACACACATATATATATATATATATATATATATATATATATATATATATATACACACACACACACACACATATATATATATATATATATATATATATATATATATATATATATATATATAGATATATATATATATATATATATATATATATATATATATATATATATATATATATATATATATATATATATACACACACATTAATGTATATATAACATTTACATATACATATATAATATACATACATGTATGTATATACAGGAAATATAATGTATATATATATACAGGAAATTAATTATATATATATATATATATAGGATATATAATATATATATATATATATATATATATATATATATATATATATATATATATATATATATATATATATATATATATATATATATATATATATATATATATATATATATATATATATATATATATATATATATATATATATATATACAGGATATTAATTTTTTTTTACAAGCAATTGTACCGTCTCCAAGTGGAAAGCAAAGGAACAGTAGGATACTCTATAGGCCAAGCAACCAGTAAAGAAACGATCCACCCCTTTAAAAGACAAAAACTTTTTAATGAGTCATCCAACTCATCATCTTACTATTCTGGTTTTAGCAATTCTGACTCTGAGGCTGACGACAGTGAATATGAAAACAATGAAGAAAAAGATGAGACAACTCCTACACCAACCAGAAAACATCATAAAAGAAAACTTACAGTAAACTTGGTGACCTTTACAAGAGTATCAACAAACAAAGCTGCTAACATATGCAAGCAATTGGCTTGTGAAAGCATTGACATCTCAACTCCATGTCAATCAGCTATTTACAAGTCAGCAATGAAAGAGGTAATCAAGCTGAAAGAAGAAATGATTGAAAAGTTACATATGGAAAGTTGGTCTTTACACTTTGACGGCAAGCAAATTGACAGAATGGATTATCAAGTGGTTGTCCTTAAAAATAAAAAAAGAGAAATCAAATTGGATGACTATTGGCTTGGTAGATGGCAGGGCTTCAACTATTGCTCAAGGAATTTCTAAAGTCTTTGATGAATTGTTTGGTATATACCAAATACACTATATAATACTTATAAACAAATAATATTTATTATTATTAACAAAGAAAAATGGAAAAATGGGCTTTATTGACCAAATTAACTCTATATAATATATATCAAGCACACATATACACAACACATATATACATATAATGTGTTGTGTACAAATGAATAAGTAAACATTTTTCTTTGCTGAGTATAAAAAAAGCCACAAAATTAAAATAGAAAAACTATGGTCACACTTCTGCAGATGTAATAATGCGTGCTGCGGAAGATGTAAAGATTAATAACATTTCATTTAGATAAGTAGCAATAGAACATGGAATGACAATGGATAAAATTGATCATGGGATTAATAACTGAACTTAGCATGTTATTGTAAAAAAACTGTTCATACTGAACAAGAGCCTGCATGAATATTGGATTAAAAAAACAACAGATATTACCAGACCTACCTGTTGCAAACAGCAGAAATTTATTTTGGTCTAACTTTTGCAGAAGTAAAAAAGCTTGCATTGCAGCTTGAAATCAAAAATAATATAAAAATTTCCTAATCTTTTACTTTAATCTAATACTTTGCTATATGAAATATAACATATTTCATTTAAGACAGAATTTAAGTGTTTTAACATAACAATTTATTAAACAAAACAAGTGTAACTTATTCAAGTAAAGCATAAGTGTACCTATATATAAATATGACTAATATTGATTAATAATAGTTGACAAATCTGACAAGTATAAATATTAACTTATACATACTTGTCAGAGTTGACGAATCTGACAAGTATAAATAATAACTTATTCATACTTATCAGAGTTGACTAGACAAATCTGACAAGTATAAATAATAACAGAGACAGCTAGTCAACAAAGTACGAATAGTCATGTTTATAATATATGTATATAAATTATGAAAATATTTAATAATTATATAATTTAAATACATATTATACTACTAAATTATACTTTAATAATACTATTAAATTATACATTTTATCTAGAAAGTTGAAACATATTATTTTGTTTATTTAACTTAAAATAAGCAATACTACCTTTAATTATACTATGATGCTGCTCATATTTATTTTCTTATATATATATATATTTTTTTTACTATCATTTAAATTCGAGTCTTAAAAAGTCGAAGTCCTTATTCCATACATAGATGAGATTTATATAGGTAGAGAATGTAGAGAATATATATAGAAAATCAATCAAAAGAAATAGTTAACATGATTAAGAGTCAACCTTATTAACATAGCAATTGGATATATGATTTCTATCTAAGATTGTAGTGAAGAAATTTGGAAAAGATGCAACCCTCTTATCAAGATACTAATATAAAGAAAATGTTTTTTTTTTTTCATGTTTTTTACCTCCTCAAGGCAGAGAAGAAGGTTGCAGTCAAGTAGACTACTCTAATGTGGGTACAACCCTCTCTCAACTCTTTAACTCAATAAAAAAAACGTAGTACTTAGTACTTATTTAACAGTTGTTAAATAAATAAGGTTATGTAAGTTCAAAAAAGCATTACATTACACAAAAACTAGCAAATGTAGATTTAAACAGAAAGTCGTACACATTTATACAATTAATTTAAAAATAAAAAATAATATAAAAACATTGTGTAAACTTCCTTATTTTTTACTGTGTGTTTGAGGTGCATATTTAAGAGCTGTCAAAGGAACGTTTGCAGTGAACATTAAGTAAACATTCGCAGTTTGTTATTGAATGTTCAAGAACTGTAAATTGGAGTTCACAAAAGTTGGTTCATGTAATATTTGCAGCAAACATTACGCGAACCTAAAAGAAAGTTGAGCGAACGTTTTTTAAACGTTAATTTTTAATTGTGTATACACAATTTTCCAGAGCATTTACTGGATGTGCTTGAACGTTTGCAATGTTTGCCAAACGTGCTTGAACGTTTTGTGTTTGCAGGGAAGCTGGTAAAGATTGGTAAAATTATGAAGCACCATTTATACATTTATACTTTTAGAATGATTTAACTTAGAGAATTTGACTTATTCAAAGATAGAGTACAACACAGTAATGATCAATAAAAAAGGTTCCCTTCTGATACCTTGCTTTTGATTTGTAAAACACATTTATGAAGAAAAAAGTTACTGGTTACCAGTTTTAGCCGACCCACTTGGGTTTAAGTCTCAAAATGTAAAATTTTTGACATTTTATTGGTTAAAAATGTAACCAAAAATAAATTATAAAAAAAGCTACAAACATCAAATACCAAACAATGCAAAATAAAATATACAACATTGTTTATTGAAATAACTTTTTTTTTTAAAAACTATATCTATGAAGTTATTGCCTAAAACCTAAATTTTATATTATTTTTTAGTTGAAATAGTGAGGTATGCTACAGATATTTGGCAAAGGATACTTTCAATAGTTTCAAATCAACAATTTCAATAAAACAATTTAAAATCACTTTTTGATGTGAAATTTTTAATTAATTTTCTGTATGTAATTTAGTTTCAAATAACTTCATCTCTGCGATCATGTCCAACCACAGAAGCTGAAGCTTCTGTAACAAGTTTTACATGTTTTTCAACATTTGGCTGTGACACTCATATCTAAACTTAAGCAGATTTGCAATAAATTTGCAAATAAGCAAAAAGGTTTAGATTTTTATTAGGTTTAGAAAAAGACTGCCAGATTCTACATGTTAATTTTAACCAATGAGAATGGTTTGTCTAACTTCTAAAAAGGCCAAATCATCAGATGCCACAAGCATAGTATTGGTCAGTCAATAAAACATTAATGACTTTATTGGTTGGTATAACAAATTTTGGAATTAGACTTAGCAGCACCCCATTTGAAAACATTGCCACTCAGTGGTGAGTCAATGGCTATAGTACATTTATTTTTCCCTTTGGTAGTTCTATCAATTTCCAAGAAAATATGCTTTAAAGGCAACTTTTAGATTCAAGATAATTCAAAGGTAACATTTAGATGCAAAATGCAAACATCCCACTGTAATTGAACTCCTAAAAAGACTTCCAAATATTTAATGGAACCACGCAAATGACCAATATTAAAATTGGTCCCATCTGCCTTTACTAAGTTCAGTCTTGTTTGAAGCTCTATTCCTAATAAAGTTTTAATATATTCCATGTGCTACATCTATTCCATCGGCACTTTTTGGTGTGATGTTATCAAAGTAAAAGTCATCTGAAAATAGAAATTTCTATTTAAATAAATACAGATTTATTTGTTTTACAAGAGATATTTGTTTTACAAATGTAGGTAACTTAATTTTCATAATTTAAAGATGCTTAATTGGAACATCAAAGAATTGATTTGACTCTTATAAAAATCCATATTTTCATCCTCAATTCTTTTCGTCATAGTTTACAAATTTATAAAAACTTTAAATGCAACTGAGTTTTGTTTTAATTCTAATAATAGATATTATAGAAATATTAAAAAATATATAAATATAAATATAATATTGAAGAAATATTATAATTTACCCATGAATTGAATAGTTCTAAACTAACATCTCTATAAACACTGTTCTATTATTTTTAAAGCAAAGAAATCTTTCAACCACTTGCTTTAAAGTTTTCCAAAAGAAAGTTCTTTTAATGGTTTAAAGCATTTATCCAAAATGTATTTATTTGATTTATTTTATGTTTTTCTTGTTGACATTTTGATTATACCTATTTAATGATGTATATGAAAAACAATGAAATAGATATCAAATCTGTCAATATATGTAATATAATAATATTTAATATAAAGATATATATGTAATATAATAATATTTAATATAAAGATATAATTATGATATAAAAACAAATCTACCATAAGAGTTTATAATTTTATGTCCATCATCTGCTGACCATTCCTCTACAGAAATCTGAATTGAACTTTCAAGCCGCCCTGGTGGTATCCAAACCCCTTGTTGACTATTAAATCAAAATGTTGCAATTAAAATCAATTTATGATCAATTAATCTTCAACTTAATAATTTAAAATCATCAATCTGCTTTTAATAACTTAATAATGAATCATACATTATTAAATTCTCAAATTTTAAATTGTAATGTTTAAAATTTTTAGAATGTAAATAAAATTAAATTGTTATAATTAAAATTTTAAGATGTAAATAAAATTAAATTGTAATGTTTAAAATTTTAAGATGTATATAAAATTAAAGAATAACTAGACAACATCAGAAATTTATGTTCAAAAAATTCTAACAAAAAATGTTATACTTGTTGTCAATAGCAACTGTTCCACCACTAAACCCGATTTGTGCAATAAAAATCCGGCCTGTCTTTACAACAAGCTTTCCCTTTTGACTACGATTTGAAAAATTATTATTTCTTGTACACATGTAATAATAAGTTCCATTTCCATTGCTTGTCAATTTTCGTGGGCCTAGATCAAAATATGTTCCAGCGTCATCCAATTCTGACATTTTTCCACCATATTGACCTAAAACAAAACTATTGTGCACAAAAGATACCAGCAGCATTAATAAAAATTATTATAAACACCAAAATTAAAAATAAAAACTTAAAAAATACTTTTTATATAAAATCATAAATTGCTAAACGCTTCAATTGTTTTAAATGTTAGTAAATATTAGAAAGTCAAAAAAAATTAAAATGCACAAATAATATACACAAACATTGTTACACAACAATATCAAAATTAAAAAAAAAAAAAGTTCCAAAAAAAATAGTTCCAATATAAATTTTTATTTTATTAAATTTAAAATATTATTAAACACAGTAACAAAAAATATTATTAAAAAAATAGCAACAATAAAAAAAAAGCTTTTTAAAAAAAGATTTATTTATTTATCAAGCCATTCATTTAAAAAAAATTTATTTTTAAGTTCACTATTGATTTTTGATAAAATTACTTTAGTAATTTGTCCTACTTCATTTTTTAAAGGGTTCAAAAGGCACACAGATGGGTTAATAATGAAGTTTTCTTTTTGCTCTTAAATCAAAAACAAAATCAACAAAAAAAAAACATTGTTAATGTTATACCATTTTATATAACCCTCCATTCAGCTAGAATGTCAAAACAAAAATAGGGAACCGTTTTTTAGCTCTAATTGACTTATATTTCCACATGCTACATAAAATATTCAACCAAAATTCTATTAAGATCAGCTACAGTTGCATGTCTAACCTAAAGTTGATCATAAATTCAAATAATTTCAAAATTTTGCACAACAAAAATTAATTAAAACTAACCAATGTAACTGCGTAGTTAAAGCATTTTGCTATTTAAACAACCAGTGTATGTCTAACAATAGTCCACCAAGCAACCAGTGATCATGAACATAATAAAAAAGTGTATTTTGACATTAGTCATACACCATTTAAATAAAGTAGAACCCAAACCCTTTCATTTGCATCAGTTAAGCATAGAAATGACACAGAACTCTAAGGAAATATAAACTTTAAGGAAATATCAACTTTATGGAAGTATGAGCTTAAAAGACCAAAACATAAAACCTATTATAAAATAAATAAAAACAATAAAAACATTCACAGTCTCTTTTATTTTTAATAAGTAAATATTAGGTAATCACCTTTTCTTCAACAATGACAATCTGACTAATTTAGATTCATTATACATTTAGCTATTTAGTCCTCACACCAAACTAGTCTCTTATAACAAATTTTTTTTTTGGACAGGCGATACTGTGAGGAACTGTAATAAAGACAACTTATGAAAACTCTGAAATAAAACCCTACTTAAGTGTGGTAAGAGTCAGAGGAGCTTTTTAATCTTGTAGTAATCTTTCTAGTAATGTTGTTAATAAAAATACTTAGTTTCATGGACTGCATAAAATAGGTTAACACTTGGAAGACAACTTGGAGCATTATACTTTGAGCACCTAGTTGTAAATATATACTTCAAAACCACATAATGTGAAGTTTCAAACAGAAAATACCACACCACTTGTCTATAATGAAAATGTTGGGCTCAGTTAAGTCACTAATCAAAAATAAATCATTGCTCAGTAAAGGGTATGTATTGTATAAGTGTTTGAAAAAAATAACATATACAGTATATATATATATATATATATATATATATATATATATATATATATATATATATATATATATATATATATATATATACACATGCTATAACTATAAATTGGAACAAAAGTTGTACCAGGATTAAGTATAGCAAGTGATTTTATATCTGCCATGTTTAAACCTAAGAGGTTTCTATTTGGCAATGTCAAACTAGTTGGAATATTATTTCCATATTGACCCTTTTTGTTTTCAATTGAAGCATCCTGTCGAATATTGCCTTTTGGATAAGCTAGATCAGTTAATAAAAGAATGTTTGAACGATCAGATCCAGCTCTTCCTTGTCCTTCATTATTGTTAGGGTTTGAGTTAGAACCAGTCCATCTAAAACAAAACAAAAATATTCAATTTATATATACTTTTTTACTTTTGTTTTGCATTAAAAAAATATCTTGTCAGATATTTTTTGAATGTATTTGAACAATATTGCATCTTTTTAATTATATTTTGGTTTTAATTATATACATATTTTTAACATTTTCAGTTCCAACAAGGCTGCAAGCAACCACTATTAGAGTTGGAAGTTATTGGAAGAGAAAAGATGAAGTTTTTCTTAAGTCAGACAACTTAATAGATTGCAAATTATATGTATCTAGAAAGCAGGATGAAGGAAGCAAACTCCAAAGAACTGTTTGAAGAAAAAAACTAGACAAATAAGAATTTTCGGAGTATTTAGGAACAGTCAAAGTAAAAGGACAAGACTTAATTGAATGACGAGTAATACAAGAATGAATATTAGTAGATGGCACAAGAGACGCTAGCCCTTTAGAGCAGTGCCCATTATAGTAATTATATAGAAAGAGTCATAATGCTGCTTTTCTCCAATCATTATCAAATCATCATAATGTTGCTTCTCATGTTGTTTCAGAAGCAACATTACGATAATGCAATAATGGTTGGAGGTTGACTGCAAGAGCAGGTCCAACTTTGTTTACAATGCGTTTTTGCACCTTGTCTAAAAGAGAAAGGACATCATTAGAAGATCCACCCCAGATATGGCAACTATATTCCATACAAAAACAGATTTGAGATTTATTGAAATAAAGAATAGAATCCATAGTAATAAAGCAGTGAGCACTATAAAGAGATGCTAATTTTGCAATAGATTTGATATATGGTTTCCAAGAAAGTACAGAAGTAAGAGATAATGGTTAAAGATGAAGGGCAGATGACTCATTGAGTACATTACTGTTCATAAATATAGGAAGATCTAGATTATTGCAATAACAATTGCCTGAAAAAAATTGGGTTTTATCTGAATTAAAGTTTACCAGCCACTGTGAACCCCATGCTGTAGCAGAAGTAAGATCCTTTTCAAGCCCAAATGTCCCCTCTAAGCAATCAGAGAGTGTTGGCTTCTTATTAAGACAAAAATAAATGGTAGTATCATCAGTGAACAATGCCACTTTAGTTTTTTTTTCAAGAGCAATAGCCTTAACCTCTCCACATCTATCTAATGCACAATAAAACCTATTGGTTATTACTGTTAGGAAATCAGCTGTAAAATGAGAAGATCGAAATCCATATTAATGATCAGAAAGTTATTAGATTCAAGAAGTGAGATTAAGTATTTGTTAATTAAAGATTCAAAAACCTTGCTTATGATAAAAAGAAGACTAATGGGACGGTAGTTAGAGGAGTCAAATCGCTCTCCAGACTTTTAAAAATAGGGATACAAGGGATGCTTGTTTTGATTGTTTTGATGCTGCTCTTGTTTTCCAGCAGGCTGGAAAACAAGACTTTGATAAGCACTTGTTAAATAATTTTGAAAGTATAAATGACAGCTCCAAAGAACACTTCTGCAAGACTATAACAGGTATGAGTCTAAGCAGGAAATCACTTTAGATACAAAAGCTGGAGTGGTACCAATGTCAAGCGATAGATTAACCTGTTTGTTGGCTATATCAGGTAGAATGCAACTAGTATAATCAAGCGATGATATTGATGAAAAGTTCTTCAAAAAAGTTCTTTAAGCAAAGAATTCAGCTTTGTCTTTACATAAGGTGACAAATAGGAACCGTACAAGAGAGGTGGAATTAGATTCAAGAAGAATGCGGTAGTGGTGTAGTGGTGTAGTAATTTAATGCGGTAGTGGTGTAGTGGTAGAGCGCTCGCTTCATAAACGAGTGGTTCCGAGTTCGATCCCCACCACGTCCCTGGTAGTACGGCGCTCAACTCGTTTCTCCGCGCAGCGGCCTTGTTCGTCAAGGTTCGTGTTTCGGAATTATAGAGTTGAGAGAAGGTTATAGCCACAAATAAGTAGCCTCCTCGTCTGTAGTGACCTTCTCGGCCTTGAGGAGGTGAATTAAAATAAAAAAAAATAAAAAAGAGATTTGCTTTAGATTAGATTCAAGAAGAGATTATAGATACTGTCAAAGATTCTCCATAAGTCACGAGAGTTCAATTTTTGAGATAAGATACCAGATTTCCTGGCCTGAGAATAGCAGGCTTTGGTGTTAGACAAAACCTTTTTAAAATGGTTTCTAACACTAGAGCCAAGCCATACAGTGTGATAAGCATTAAAGTCACCAACAACAACGATTTTGGCTATGGGATAGAGAGAGAGGGCTTGGTCAATTTGATTAGAAATAACATCAAAAAGGGTGCAGAGATGGAGAGCAATATAAAACAAACAGAAAGACAATAGAGTGAAGTGGTGCTAAACCAAAGTACATAAAAAAATAATTTTAAATCAGCTTAAATCTTAAATAAAGTTTTAAATAGATTTAAATCTAGTTTCCCGAAAAATGGGTGAATTTTTATGAATGTTAATGCGGGGCCAAGCATGTGACTATTGGAGTCTTTACAAATTAAAGGAAGATAACCATCAAAACTAAGACCACAAGAAGAGACAGTTGAACTCAAATTAGTCTCACAAACAACAAGTAGGTCTAGTGAACTTTGCAAGAGATAAGACTCAACAGAAGAAAAGTTACTTCAAAGACCACGAATATTAGTGAATGATAGATTTAGAGAACTAGGTGTGACAATGGCTTTTTGTGATTATAGTTTTTGGTACTTTAGTAATTTTTTGATTTCAAAGAACTTGAATTAAAACACAGATAGTACTCAGTACACTATTTAATAGCCCAAGCAATTGTCTCAATACTATTATTAAACACTAAACCATAACAAAAAGCCCTAAATGTGGCCGCAACAATGCACACCAAAAGTATGAACAGGGACACAATCCATGCGCAACATGGCATTGTTAGTATTTTGATATTTTTCACCTGTTGACAGAACCAGCTTCTCTGAAAGCTACCACAGAGTTTGTAAAATCTGACTACCAGCTGGCCCCAGAACCATAAAACTAAGTTATAGAGCTGCACCCTTATTAAGAGATAATAGAATGAGTTGCATAGTCATAAAAACAGAGACACAAGCAAATTGAGTCAAAAAGATCCAGCATTCAACATCCTAAACTAGAAACAATGTATTATAAATATATCTGTGTCAGCCTAATAGATGAAGAAAGGGTATGAGGCTGGTCAACAGATAGAATCAATTTACTCCTTAAGTCTTTGCCAAGAACACCTTCTACAAGACAGTAGCTGGATGTATTTAATGTCTGCCCAAGATGAGCATTTTTATCAAGACATCCTCTCTAGCCTTTACTCAACCAAGAGCCCCAAGACAGGGGGTGTTTTAAGTCGGAATTGTCTTTGCCTAAAAAAGCGTATCCTACAAGGCAGCAGAAAATGAAGCAAGTTGTACTGGGTTACATTTTATCAGTAGCAGGATAACCTAACCTGACTTACAAGCAGATTAACCTGTTCTTAGTTAAGTACAACAATGATTAAATAATAAAATAACATATTGAATACTTTTCTTAAAATAATAGTCAAAACTTCAGTCATTTATGAAAAAAAAGAAAATTCACCACTAGTAAAATGAATTAATCTAAAACCAGTAAAATCTGGTAAAGAAACAAAAATTAATAGATCTACTTTACGCCATATATAATACCTGTCAACTAAGCAAGTTTAAGTAGTTTTTTATAAACAATAAAAACTTTTTTAAATGCTTTTTTAGAATTTTAAATGATTTTATGAAACTGTAGTTATATGCATTTTCCAAAGTAAAGTTGGGGTAATAATCAAGCAAACTTTATGTAAAAACAATTAAAATAATTGAGGAAAGTAATTAAACGCTTTTTAAAAAACCACAAAAACGCAACTTAATAAACTAGAATGTTGCTTGTTTTTTTAATAAACAATCTGAATATTTATTGAAAAATAAATCATTTTTTTCTTATATTTTTTACTGTTTTTATTATTTAATTTATCAAGTGCCAAGGACAAATAACCTTGTTTAGGGTAAGGTGGTGTACCTTGAATATGCTTTATCTTGAAATATTTTCAAAAATCCCGCATTCTGGGTTGTGTTTAAGAAAATAAAATATACAATTTAAAGTATTTGTCACTTGGAGGCATGTAAATTGTATTTTCAATTATAAGAAATGGTTTGTTTTAAAGTTATTTGATGTGTTTTATTTTTGTGCAAGATAACATTTTTTTTCTTTATCTACTGAGTATTGCTGTGCTAAACTTTTATGATCAAAATTGACAATATTTGGGAACATATGCGGCTATGATTTTGTAATGAAATAATTTATTTTTGTTTTCAATTTTCAAAGTTACTCAACAAAATATGTGATTTGTATTCAAGGTAAAACACCTTCCTTTAAGTATAGAGAAAGTGTGAATACGTATTTGAACTGTAGTAACTTTTAATCCAACAATCATTTATGCAATAATTTCAAATCTTTTAGTTATTTACATTTATAAATTTTTAATATATATATATATATATATATATATATATATATATATATATATATATATATATATATATATATATATATATATATATATATATATATATATATATATATTAAAATGAAATATTAATATATATATATATACATATATATATATATATATATATATATATATATATATATATATATATATATATATATATATATATATATATATTAAATTTTTACTATTAAATTTTTTAATATTAAATAGTTAGCCATCAAAACCTTAAATGTAAAAAAATGAAAATCAATTGTTGGAATTAGATTGTAATTAAGTACATTGGCAGTTTTATCCACTATTGGCAGTGTACTTAATAATCTCAAGGTGGTAATCAACTCATAGATAAAAAAAGATAAAATTTAAATTTAAAAAAAGACAAAATTTAAAAAATAAATTAACTTCAAAATAATTTACTGTATATGAATAGCATCTGAAGCTGATAGAGTAAGCCGATTTGGTACAAAATCATATTCAACTGCTGGATACACTTGAACAATATTTCCTCGTTTACCTCGAACATTTAAGTTGTACATTTTAAGTCCATTGAAATCAGCAGGACGTGAACGAATTGCAAAACGATGGCTTCTAATAAAATAAATAACTCAAAATTCATTAAGGTTTTTTCCTATAAAAACTTAATAAAATCTAATTTTTAAGTTTTAAAAGCAAACAGTTTAGCAAAACAAATTAAAAAATAGTCTAATTTGTGAAAATACATTTTCTACTATATTTTTTATGTAATCACATATTTGAATTAGGTAATAATTCAATTAAAAAAACTGTTTTTTAAAAATTTAAAAAAACACATATATTTGAATTAGGTAATAATTCAATTAAAAAAACTGTTTCTTAAAAATTTAAAAAAACAGCAGATCTGCTGTTTTTCTACATCCGCTTTTCTCTGCTATTTATAAAATAGACCCATTATGTAATTTCATTGTAGTTTATATTTACCTAATTCAAATATATGCATGGTTCATGATTACATAAAAAATTTGCTTTTAAAGCTTAATAATCTTTAAATAATTTTTAAAACTTAGTAATTGGTTTTAAAACTTAAATTTCTGTATCACATGGAAGAAGCTATGATCTTGTATTAAAGTTAAGTACATAGAAGAAGCTATGATCTTGTATTAAAATTATGTACATAGAAGAAGCTATGATCTTGTATGTTATGTTGGAAGTGTGGTGGTAGTGGTGGTTGAGATTAAAATAATATAAAACTAAAATTTCTTTTAAAAAATAATTTTAAATTGTTTAAAAATAATAATTTTTTTTTTAATTAAATAAATATATATATATATATATATATATATATATATATATATATATATATATATATATATATATATATATATATATATATATTATATGTCACATATGTATTATTGGCATAAGAAAATTGCAATTAATTGTATATATATATAATTATATATACATATTTATATGTATATTTTAAGGTGTACCAAAAAACAACATTTTTGAAAAATATGTTGCCACCCCTTAGTGTGTTTTATATGATTAAAAAAAAACACTTGATTTCAAAAAAAATTTTGAATAAAAAATATTTTTAGGGGTCACCTAAGACCCTTGAACATTTAATGAGTTCCTAATAATTTATAAAACAAAAAAATTTCAAAAATAGATAATATATCAACAACAAAAAAAAGATATTATATTAAAAAAAAAAACTTATTCAGAAAAAAATTAATAAAAATAATAGTTAAAAATAATAATAGTAATAATAATAATAATAATAATAATAATAATATATATACATATATATATATATATATATATATATATATATATATATATATATATATATATATATATATATATATATATATATATATATATATATATATATAAGGGTATATTATATTTCAGTCAAAATACAAATTTTTAAACTACCACGCTTGGATTTCTATGTATTTGGGTATGGGGAACTCAGTTTTGATAATATTTTTGTAAAATATTAATGTTTAGCAAACATTAATATTTTACAAAGTTTTAAAATTACGGTTTTATTAAAAGTTAATCTTTTTAAGTAGGATTTAATTTTTAAGAAGTTTTAGACAATTATTAATACAAACTAAAGTTTTATAAAGTAAAAAGTAGGAGTAATATAGCAGATAAAATTATCATTGACCCCCTGCAAGGAATATATGAAAACGATTAGGGCTTCCAGGCACCCCCTAGTCAATATTTGATAATTTATTTAATTATCAAGATAAATTATGATAAACTATTCATAAATAAAAAAGCTTTTTTTTTAAACATATTATGCATTCCAAAGTTTTCTAAAGCTTAGGAAAGAGAATGAAATCGTTGCAAAAATAATTAATAAAAAAAGTTAATAAAAACAACTAATAAATTTAACAAGCTTGAAGATAAAACAACCAAGTAAAAAATACAATAATAATAACCAAATAATATCAAATTAATAATAAAAAATTGTTACCAACTAAATATAAAATCATTCTGTATAAAAACAGGTGAGAGCTAGTTTTAAATATTTTACTATATAGTTTTTATTAGGCATTGGTCACTTAAACAAAGTCTTTTTTTGATTTCATCACAGGCATTATTTCTCAATTTCACAATTAAGTTCATATAAAAAATTTTTATCCCAACCACAGACTGCCGCAGTAACTAATTTGACTGCTGTTTCACAACTTTGGGTATCCAAGGAATATAAAAGAAGCTCCAGGGGAGAAACTTTAAATGCATTAAATGCATTTGCATAGAAAACTGAATCAGCAATGACTTCTTTTTTCCTATCAATAAGTTCTTTGATTTCACAAGTATTAAGGTTAATTTTTTGTGGAACTTTAAAAGGTCTCACATCAGTAGAGCTATATTTACTTCCAGCCCTGACTGCCAATATTTTGTCAACTGCAAATGACCTTTGATCTGAGTTATCAGAACAGAGAAGTGCAACAAGTATATTCTAAGGATGAGCCTACCAGGATTCACTGGCCATAATTTACTTTGATCTCGAAAAATATCAGAAGATACACCTGTGTCACCCAAGTTGCAAAGAGCCTTAAGATCTCTGCATACTAAGGTTTAAGATCATGCTTACTCATTCATAGAAGCAAGCACCTCATTCCACAAGTAAACCATCGACTGTGAGACAATCTACCACATTTAAGAGTTGCTACTTTAGGATCAAGGTTTCTTTTTAATATTGCATTCAAACAATTCCACGCAAGTTTTCACGTAATTTATTCTAGATTATAAACTTTAAGAAACAGTAAATCTTTCAAGATTATCAATTTTAGAAAACAGTTTACCAACTGCACCACACCATTTTTTATCTGAAGAAGTTGGTCCATCAAGTTTTTCTACAATATGACGGTGATTATATTTCTTTCACAGCTTAAATTTTCCTCCACTCTAGAGCACTTCATAGCACCCTCTTTGGCATGAAAAAATTTCATGCTATCACAGCTAAGATTATTTTTATCTTCAAAAAGTTTCATAATAGCCTTCATATTATTTTTCAAAAGATGATAGCAGCAGTAGCAGTTGATGAGACATTAAATCTGACAGAGGCAATGGCAGCATTACTAATAATAAGGTTGTTTTGTTTAAGATAATTTTCTTATTTTTCTAATGTTGAGCCAACTTCGCTATCACTGACTTTATTGCTATTACTGACCATATCAAAATTATTATACATTTCTGCTACAACATCCATATTTTTAGTGTCAAATCTAATAGTAGATGAACAAAATGTTCTCAATGACTCTGACTTTAAAAACTTCTCGTTGTCAATTAAACCTTGCTTGATTGATTGCAATGACATGGCAACATTAGAAAAAAATTCTTGCATTGATAATTTATGTGGATCTTTTTCATGAACTAGTAATTATTTTTTGTTGCAGATCAAGACATACCTGCAAACAATCACATATTTGTTGGAAATTCAGTTTGGAGAAATTTTCTAGGACCTCCAAGATATTTGCTGATTAGCAATAGTTTTAAGATTTTTATATCGCTCATTTACTAATAGTTTATTTTAACAGCCTTATACAAATAGTGAAATTTAATTATAAAGTATTTAATAATTTACTTTATAAAAATATATTGATTAATAAATTAAAAAGTATATTACTATAAATATTTTAAATAAATTAAAAAGTATATTACTATAAAAATTCAATAAAAGCTTGATTTCAACTCAATAATTTTGCTTAGTACGTCATGTAATTATTATTGCTGCTTACCGATAGCTATCAAAAACAATATTTCTAATTAGTTTAAATGATTTTTCAATGTAAATTTATTGTGGCCATGTGTTGAGTCAAATGATTTGGTTTAACACTTTTAATTAAAATATTTTTCATAAGTAAAATTGAGAAAAAATTTCAATCAATTTTTTGAGTTCTTTTTAATATTTTTATATTGATAACTAATTTCTTTATAAATAAAATATTGATAATTAATTATGAAATTATGAGTAATAACTACGAGTAATAAATGATGGAAATACAAATTTTATAGTAGAAAAATACCTGTCTTGAAATGTTCTGCCATATTGAGCAGTATTGATAGCTAGCCTCAGTTGTAACCGAGAACCTAAATTAGCATTTGTTGTTTTTAACGGTTGAACCACAGGATTGTTGTTAAAAAGATATCCTCTATTTGTGGCTTCAGTGTCTGAAAGTCCAACCAAAGGACCCACCTTGATTTTGTTAGCTAAAAAAAATGGTTATTTATACAGAATAATTGCAATACAATTTAATTTTTTAAAAATTTTAAAAACTTTTATAATAATTAAACCTAATTAAATTATAAAAATAGAGAAACAAAAAAACTTTTTTGATTTTGCTATAATTCTGATTAATTACACTGAAAAAAAAAGGATATCTTGAATGTCATTAAGTAATATTTCTTAATTATATTAAGAAATATTATGTCATTAAGTCATATAATATAAGTAATATTTTATGCTGATTTTAAATCTGAAAACCATTTTGCTCCATCAGGTCAAATTTTTAAGATATTATCGAATATATACATATACAAAAATATATACATAAATATATATATATGTATATAAACAGTGTTATGATGTTGCACTGTTTGTTTGGACATTGTAATTGCAAATTTCTATTTTACTTCCTCTGTATTCATTGGAGGAACATAAAACTTAATGTGAACATAAAAAAATAAAAGTTAATTTGGTGATTCACTAAAAATATGACAACCAGAAGATGTGTAAATTCACCTGATCTTTTTTCCTATGTGTGCGGCTATGTAACAGACAAGTCACATATGAAGGCTTTCACATCATTACTAAAGAAAGCATACAAACTGTACTTTGATTCAAAGGTGGATTGTGGTAAGTCATGGGCACCTAACTTGTTTAACATGCTCATGCAAGTTGCGTTTTGGATCGGGAAGGTAAAAAAAAAAATCACAAGGCACTCGGAGTTCCTATGATATGGCGTGAGCAAAGCAATAGATTGTTATTTTTGTATGGCAAAAATTAGTAGAATTTCTTATAAAACTCATTCATCTATAAGCTACCCAGAGGTTCAATCAATTACAAAACCAATTCCACATGATCCCATGGTTTTTCCAATACCACCAGCACCTGCATCATTCACAACTGACGTAGAAAAGCAAGAAGAAAGTGATATTTTATTTTCTGCTGACGACTTAAACTCTGACGACAAAGCTGCCGAAGAAGGAATTTATTTGATTAATTATTTTGAACTTTGCAACCTAGTAAGAGATCTGGCACTAACAAAAGCCCAAGCAGAACTGCTTGGTTCTTGCTTGAATGAATTTCATTTGCTTGCACCAGGTACAATAACAGCAAAATTTCATTACAGGGAGAAAAATTTTGCTCAGTACTTTGACATGAGTGACATTATTTGCTTCTGCACTGATGTTGATAGTCTTTTGTCATGTCTATGAGTTGAACACAGATTTGAAGAATGGTGACTGTTCATTGACTCATCCAAGACTAGTTTAAAAGCAGTATTGTTGCACAATGGAAATAGTATGCATCAGTACCAGTTGCATATTCTGCCTACATGAAAGAGACGTACGAAAACATGTCTCAACTTCTAATCAAAATATTTTACCGTAAGTACAACTAGAGTATTTGCAGTGACTTAAAAGTATTAGCTGTTCTAATGGAAATGCAGTCAAGATACATAAAGTACTGCTGCTTCATATGCAAGTGGAACAGCAGAGATAGGAAGCAACAATACATCAAGAAGAATTGGCCAATCAGAGACAGACTACAGCCAGGAAATAAAAACGTTCTTCATCCAACTTTGGTTGATCCTGACAAGATAATTCATATCAAGTTGGGACTTGGTATAAAAAATTTTGTCAATAAATTAGGCAGCGACTTTGCTGCATTTCAACACCTGCGCAATAAGTTCCCAGAGTTAAGTTATGCAAAGGTAAAAGAAGGTGTGTTCATTTCTCCTCAAATAAAAAAATTTATGGCCGAAGAACACTTTTATGACATTTTAAGTGTTATTGAAAAAGATGCGTGGGTGGTATTCAAGCCAGTCGTAACCAAATTCCTTGGAAATAAGAAATGTGCTGACTACGTGAATGTTGTACAAAAATGTATTATTGCGTACAAGTACATTGACTGCAACGTCTCTGAAAATTCATTTAACTGACTAACATCTAGACTTCTTCCCAGAAAATCTTGGTACAGTCAGTGATGAGCATGCAGAGCGTTTCAACCAGGACATTTCGGTGATAGAGTCACGCTATAAGGGTCGGTGGAGTGCAGCAATGCTGGCAGACTACTGCTGGAAAAATCAGCGTGATTTGCCAACTCAGAAATATAAACGAAAGTCCAAAATAAAAAAAATTTATACCGTGAACATGTGTAACAAATTTTTTATTATACGTCGGTGTATTACACTTCAAATTGAGTTTCGGTTTATTATATAATTATGTATCTTATATATATATATATTAGGGTGGGTCAAAAAATTTTTTTTTCTTGTTACAGGCTCTAATCATTCCTAATAGTTATTAATATTGATACTATCAAATATGAGAATGACTGTGATAGATTTAAAGGGCGCAACTTTATTGGGAAAATTACCGGTACCCTAATATTTTGGAGAAAAAAAGTTTTTCAAAAGTAGGTCAACCTGGTACTCAAAAGAAGCGAAATTTTATGAAAAATTCGAAAATAAAAATTGTTTTATAAAAATCATATTCCCGAAAAAAATTGTTGTAAAAAAACATGTAAAAATGCACCTTTTTCATTTTTAGTTAAAAAACTATAGTTATTATGCAATAGAATCTAAAATAATAATTTTTTTATGAAAAAATTATTATTTTTGAAATTTTTATAAAATTTCGCTTTATTTGAGTACCTACATCACATAATTTTGAAAAACTTTTCTTTTAAATAATAATAGGGCCTGCTAATTTTTGTAATTATAGTTGCGGGTGGAAGACATTGTTCAATCAATAAAAGTAAATACTTTCCTAAATTAGTACATAAAAAAACAACTTTCTAGACCATAGCCAGGTTAGCAACACTAAAAAAAATTTTATGACCCACCCTAATATATATATATATATATTTATATATATATATATATATATTTATATATATATATATATATATATATATATATATATATATATATATATATATATATATATATATATATATATATATATATATATATATATATATATATATATATATATATATATATATATATATATATATATATATATATATATATATATATATATATATAAAGCTCGAGCCACATTCATGTTTTTATCTAATATAATTGATGCAGCATTAACTTTGAAAATATAAGTTTTGTGCAAAAAAATATATTTCTTATGTTTTGCAGTAATTCATTGAAATATAAAATTTAAGACCCTGGATATTTCAAAAATTGAGGCTGATAGAGGCAAATGGTTTGCATGATCGAAATCAGCACACTCAAATTGATTAAGATTGATTATTGTATACCAAGATATCTGCGGGAATTTTTTTTTGTTGTACAGTGTTATCAATCAATTATTACCATATAACTAACCACTATTACAAAATTACAAACCATTATTACAAAATTACTAACCATTATTATGATATAAGTAACCATTATTATGAAATTACTAACCATTATTATTGTTCGATGAGTTTGCATCTAACAGATAGTCACCAGTAGAAATATTATATCGAAGACGCAGAACACAGTTCTCATTAATGTCACTTGGAATTGTCCAGTTGTATGTGGTAGGAAACCCTCCTAGCCCATTTCCATTATGATTATCCCGAGATCGAGGTGGTGAAACACATTCAGGAGGATTTAGATTTCGACTTGGAATTTCAGTCCAGTTTGCTTTGTTTCCAGAATTCTTTGGCCATTCCAGTTTCTATGTACAATACTAACATTCATACTAACATTTAATGACTTCCTTACAAAAATTATATTACTTTTTTTGTTGAGACTACTTATTTAAATATTTAATATTTATTTGTTAACAATATTTACTTAAATATTTAAATATCTAATCTATTATAGATATGTAAATATTTAATTTAGTTATTATAAGTAACAATAACTACAAAATATTTGATTATATTTCATTTTCAATAATTTGAATAAACTCATTAAAATTCGAAACAAAAATACATCTAAAAATAATTCAAATTTACATTTCAATAAATTTTATAGCAATTAATTAGTATTATTATTATCATTATTAAATATATATTATATTATTATTATTATTATCATATATATATATATATATATATATATATATATATATATATATATATATATATATATATATATATATATATATATATATATATATATATATATATATATATATATATATATATATATATATATATATATATATATATATATATATATATATCAGGGCTTGTGATGTAAGTATATCAGCCCTGATATACTTCATATAAAACGCGCCCGTAAACAGTATTTTCAAACGTTCTAGGCGCAATAAACAATGCTCGTTCAACTTATAACGAGCGTATAAAATAACGCTCGTCCAGGACAAAATTTCATAAAATATTAAAAAAAGAATTTTTAGTAGAGATATTATATTATCGAAGCACTGATATAAAATATAAAAAGAACTACGTCAATCTCTTTTGCACAAACATAATGAATGAGCAGTTTGAAGTCGTTAAAGGTGGAATGTGCATGTGAATGAGCAGTTTGAAGTCGTTATAATGGAATGTGCACGTGGAAACGCAATACGAATATAAAAATGCGCAAATAAAAATATGAATAGAAAATTAGAAAACCGTTATAAGATAATTGAAACTGCAGAATATTTTTAATTTTGTGAAAATATCAAGTAAGATTTATTTGATTTATTGTTTGTAATTTTTACACATCATTTATAATAAAAATAAATATTAATAATAGAGTAATTTTTAAAATTAATTTTTGTTCATAGTATAGGTTTTTTATTAACTATTATTTATTTTAACTCAAATTTTAAAACGATTCTGTTGATAAGAATGTTTGCAACCAAGGACATTCCAAAAGGAAGCGTAATGGTGTCAACATTTATTAAATGGAAACTATTAAACTATCTTATTTAACTTATAACGAATTTAACTATGAAATATATATATATATATATATATATATATATATATATATATTTAACTATAAAACTATCTTATTTAACTTATAACAAATAGTTTTTAAAAAAGAAGATTTTCAAATTATTCTTGTGATATTTTTTTATGATGAAAAAAATTAAGTTTACATTTTTAAATACATATATCAAAACAACATAAGCAAAAAACTAAAATTATACTTCAATAAGAAGTTGCGTTTTTGTTTGATATTATTTTTAAAAGTTAAAAAAAAAATCGCGATCTGACGCAAACAATATACAAGAAGTTTGGAAGGAAAAAATCGACTTCGTTGAAGTAGTTTCGTAAGCGTGATACTAATTCAAACATTTGTTGACGAAAGGTTGATGTAACAAATAAAAAAAAGATATAAAAAATAAAAAGCTTTTTATGAGCATCATCTTCAGCAATTTTCATGATCGCGCTCGCCGACGTTATCTCGAGCGCGCATAATCACGCTCGATTATTCTAATTTAAATTCTAATTTTACGAGCGCGATATAACACGCTTGACGATTTTCTTCATCACAAGCCCTGATATATATATATATATATATATATATATATATATATATATATATATATATATATATATATATATATATATATATATATATATATATATATATATATATATATATATATAGCAAAAAGACATTGGCGAAACAAATAAGAGTATATTTGTTAAAGAATTATCATTATAATTTTAATTTAAGTTATTACTTGTACATTTTCCAACATTATTTCAAAAAATTGAATTTATTAAATTTTTATAACAACTATTTATAATAGTCTTCAATTTAAATGATTTTATGTTTATTAATAAACTAAACCATTATCTAATCTTATCCTTTGTTTTTTTTTAGTTTATTTTGTCATTGCTTTCTTGGTTTGTTTCCTGTAGAAACATGATTTTAATTTAGTAAATTTATACCACTTGAAATTTACTGTATTAATCATAAGTCAAAAGTTAAGGAGAAACTAGAAAACTATTTTTTATATATTTTGTTTACTGTAACATTACAAAGCCAGTTTTAATGGTTAACTTTATTGTTTTTGTCATTGCCATTAACAATAGTAACTTTTGTTATGAATATTTAGGTGAACATTTTGCACCTAAATATTCGTAAACAGTAACAATCAACATACTGTATTTATAATAATAAAATAGTGAAAGGCATAATTACTTCATAAAAATATGTATTTTCTGAAAGAAAAATAAATATAAATTATTTATCTTGAAAAAAATATACATATCAATATTGGCAGACATAAATATCACAAGAATTTTGAAGAAAAAAACTGTGAATTAAAAAAAAAAATGCTAATCAAACATTAAACTATGAGAAGAATATTTAGCAAAGACATTTTTTTTTTAATTGTGCATATGTTCTTTTATATTTAGCTTCTATATCCCACTCCCATACATTTATGCTATTTGCAGACAACCCCTCCCCTTATGTACAAGCTTTATTGACTATCCCTGAAGCAAAAATGTGTTTATCATAACTAATTAAGAAGCCAAACACTAAATTATTTTTCAAATGCAAGCAAATATATTAGCCAGCTAATTTACTTTCTTTATAATTCTTTATTTTGTAAAAGTTTATTAGAAATAAAATGTAAAATAGTATTCTTTTGATTTAAGACCTTAATTTTTTTTTTTTCATTTCTTTCTTTTTAGGTTTTATCAAGTTGTACTTCCTTCTCATGGCTTCCTTCTCATGGTGCCTGCTGTTTTATTTAGTTTACATTTTAAAAGCTAAGACATTGGTAAGGGCAAGCAAAATTTTTAGATAATATAAAACATTTTAGATAACATAATAAGTTAAATTGATACAAATGATTAATTTACTAATAACTTGTATTACGGGTTGCTTACTGCTTGCATTATATATTATTATTGAAACACAAACTGTGACAAACAAGGTTGTTGTGTTAAGAAACAAGTTGGGCATGAGTACTTTTAAATTAATCTCACATTTTTAAACTAACCTCGCAAGCTTCTTGAGTTATTCCTAAATAGGTATTTGCTGGATTTCCACCAACTTTATTTAAAATAAGAGCATCCATATAACCAGCTGGTGGAACACACACAAATCTTGACTTAACATTCTCACTCTCCTGCTGATATCTAGTACACTGCGAAACATCATTCGTCATAACAGCGATATCCTATTTATAGTAAAAGTTAATAAAATTGGTAGTATTTTTAGTAAATTTATAGCATAAGTTAATAAAATTAGATACATTATGCTTCAATATACAGAGTTTCTAAAGAGCCTGAAGTGCAGAGAACTTATAATAAAACAGTTTTTATCAAAAACAAGTTAGATATTGACAAAAAAAATCATAATTTTATTGGTCAAATTAAAAAACTTTAACCCCAAGAAAATTAATTTTCTAAGCTTTGTTTTTAAAAAACTCACTTACAACTAGAGCAAGAAAAAGGTTGACAGAAAGCTTAAAAACTTTTTAAAAAGAAACAGTCACAGTAGGTGGAATTCGAGATGACAGCAAACACGGTAACCACTTAAAGGATCCCAAACTCCCAACACATGTTGTGTTCATATTAAAGATAATGTTTAAAAAAAAGGGTTGAACCAAGTTTTTTTGATCAAAAATAAATAATGAATGCATACCAAGAAAAACTAATGTTGTTGTTTTAGCCAAATCTTGCCTTTTCCATTTTATTCAAGAACTCGGAGTCTTCAAATTATACATCGCAATCTAGATACTTCAGCGATTCCTTTGAAGCACATTTAATTCATAAAAGTTTTAGTATTTGACGTCACGGTAGACTTTTAACAGATGAAACTCTGGAAATATTTTTGTTTATTTTTATTCGAAATTTTTTTGATTATTTGTTTAGTTTTTTTTCTTTCTATTTTTAACATTTAAAAAGATATTAAAAATTTCAAATATTTTATGCTGGTTCGTTGCTATAAATTGTTATTGCACCATATATTTAATGTTTCTAAATTATGAATATTTATCATCTCAATCCAAATGACTCTGATAAAAAAATTGTTTTACATTAATTACCCGTATGAAATTAGTAACAGCATTTTTATTTGGTTAGACGATATTTCGTCATGAAGTTCGGGAAGTCAAACGAAAAAAAATTAGTTTGAATAATCATGTTGAAATATATTTAAAACAAATTATTTTAATGACGGGGGTTCTAAATTTTTTTATAACAAATGTAGGTAAAAAATAAATAAATAAATAAAAAGTTCAACATTAAACATCATTTCTTTATTATATTGCAACTGTAAATATTGAAATATTAACTTGAACTAAATTTACTTATTATTTAGAACGACTAAGCAATAAAAATAAAAAGCACCTAAAATTATGCGATATTGTGTTGTTTATTTGATAATTGTTGTTGGTAATGTTGTTTATGTTGATTATTTTCATTAATATCAAAATAGTCCCAGATTAATCTGTTAATTGCTTTGCTCATTGTTGATTTATTTCTAATTTAATTTTATCTCTAAGTTTAATTTTATGTTACTGCCATTAATTAATGTGTTATTGCGTTATTTAATAATAATTTGTCCATATTTTTGTTTAACATTAGTTGTATAAAATGGGCAAAAATATACGAACTTCGTGTTTTTAATTTGATGGTTATAAAATATTAAACAGTAACATATAATTAAAATTTATAATGCTGACTTGTGTTGCTATTAATTGTACTTTTAATGCAAAACCAGGATCTCACATATCCTTTCACAAATTTTCATATCTAATACTACTGTCAACTGTATTGTTTAGTGTATTCTTGTACTTTTTTTTCATAACCTTAACAGGTTCTAATCGGTTTGGAGTTGCCAACATTTTAAAAGTTTCATTATCAATAATTAAATGTAAAATAAAATGATTTTTCCTTTTTATCCGCAGCAAATTAATTCAGCCAATTTAGCAATTTAAATTAAATCAGCGTAATCAAAAAAATTTTATAAAAAAGTTAACAATTCATCCAACATCACTAATTAATACTGTCCGTTTATGAAAGTAATTGTTAATATATACTTTTTTTCAACAGGAAAACAAAAAATGTCATTGCGTAAAAATAACCAGAGAAGTTAGAAAATAGTTCCCATTGTTTAAATATAAAATAAGTATCAGAATATATAATACTGCGCTCTCTTGCACAAAAACAAGAGACCGTATATAAAACGTTCTATATAATGTAAAATATTCGTATGAAAATCGGAAGGTTAATAAGTAAAGCTTTAATATTTGTTTTAATTTAAAAACAAAAGAAATATAAGTAAATATAAGTTGCTCCTATAAAATAAAAATAATTTATTGTTTTTACTTTTTACAAAAATTTTTTTGCGATGTTTGGAAAAATAATGCAAATAAATTTGTTTTGCTGTATGTTAAAAAAATACTACATTGTACTTTTTGAATTAAAGTAGAAAAACGCAGCTTTGTGTAATTACACTTTTTATTTGTTAAAAGTCTACCTTGACATCAAATACTAAAACTTTTATGAATTAAACGCACTTCAAAGGAATCGCCAAAGTCTGTAGATTGCAACATATAATTTAAAGACTCAGAGTTTTTGAATAAAATGGAGAAGGTAAACTTTGGCTAAAACAACAACATTAATTTTTCTCAGTATGCATTCATTATTTTTAAACAAAAAAAACTTGTTTCAAACCTTTTTTTTAACATTATCTTTAATATGAACACAACATGTGTTGGGAGTTTGGGATCCCTTTAAGCACCAAGTATTGTCATCACTTAAACAGCAACCATAGTAACCACTTAAACACCATCTATAGTAACTATGGTATTTGACGAAAAGAAAAAGAGATGTACCTAAAGGCAAAAAAAGAGAGTTTCAATTTTGACAACTAGAGTAGGCAAAAAACTTTGTAATAAATAGAATGAAAGGCTTTCATGAGTGATCTGAAATGACATAAAGGATTATAAACAATAATTTAAAAAGAATCATCTGAGAAGAAAAAGTAAAGAATTATTAAAATAGAGGTTATTTGTTAATTTGTGTTGTCAGAATAATATATTTCTTGCATAAAATGAGTACAATTTTAAAAGGTGGTAGGGATATAAAGAATGATCTATAATATAAAAAATTTAATTTTTTTTAATGATGGAATTTCACCTATGGATGTCTACCTTTAAGGAACAAACCTTGGAATTAATAAAAAATATTTTAAGGCTCATATTTAAACATTCATGTTTAGAGTCTCTAGCACTGTCCTTAGTTACTATATCAAGTAACATAAGAGTCTCTAGCACTGTCCTTAGTTACTATATGTTAGGGATGTTGCTACCAACTCATAATAAGTTCGTTTTTCCTTATTTTCCACTTAAATGAGCCTTCAAGTAGAAAGTTGATGTTATTTATAAACTTGGGATAATATAGGAAAACAGAGAAAGAAAAAAAATACAGAAAAAGTGGTTATAACTTATTACCATTTTCACCAATAAGTACCATTAGGAACAGTAACCTGTATCAGTACAAAAACAGCATCAAAATTTGTGACAGATGTTTTTGATTAGACATTTTTAATTAACAAACAGCTTTGTGATTTTATGGGCTCATTTATGCCACTTTTAGATACTATAACATTTACCTCTCCTGTTTTAAATTGTGCACTTTAAGTAACAGTAGAATAGCATAGTAGATATAACTTTACACTTTAAGGAATAGCATATTAGATAGTACTTTACACTTTTAGGAATAGCATAATAGATCTCCATCATATGCAATAGATCTCCATCATATGCAATAGATCTCAATCATCTGCAATAGATCTCCATCATATGCAATAGATCTCCATCAGATGCAATAGATCTCCATCATCTGCAATAGATCTCCATCATATGCAATAGATCTCCATCATCATCAACTTTGACACCTTTCATACTGAACTGTAAAAAATTAAAATAAATTTAGTTTAGTTTTAATTTGATGCGATCAATCAAGACTTTTGATGAAGCTAGCCAATACCCTAAGAAACCTTTCAGGCCAAATGACCTCAAAAGTTTTTAATTTGTTGTGCTTGAGATACATTTAATTAGATGGAAGTTTGTACATCGAATTTAGAAAATTAATTAAAAGAATAATAAGAACTTGTAAAATCTAGTTAAATTAAAAGTTGACATGAAACGTGTGAATGGAAACAGTTGTGTTTCTAAACATTCATCAATATAGAATGATGCATTGAGTGCAAAACTATGACTTCGACATACAATAATTAGAAACAACAATCCACATTATTAGTTTTTTTTAACTTTTTTCTTACAAATCGAACACTTTCCTGGCATGCTTCTTTGATTTCAGTGTAGTATTCAGCTTTTCTATTCATTTTATCACCTGTAAAACAAAAACGAAAGTGTTTTTGGAACGAATCAGGCAGAACTGATGAGTGGGGTAGGGGGGAAGTAGGAAGAATGAAATATTTTAAGTATTACAAATTTTCTGGACAACATTGAGAAGTATTATTTTAAGTTTGAAATAACTTAAAACATATTTTTTAAGTATTCTACCTGCACACTTTTAAAGTCTATCTGCACTTCAAGAATATATTGAGGAATACAGTTTCAGAAATTAAGATAAAAATTATAAAAAAATGACAAAAACTATAAAAAAATTAGTGTAAAATTTTAAAAACTAACTTTAAAATAAAATTAAAAAACATTATTCTATGAAAAACCTTCCAAGGTGTGGGTCTCCAATAAGGATAGTAATCTCGTTCTTCAGGACATTCATAACCTCTGCGTGTGCCTTGAGGATTTTGGCGGGTGAAACGAGCTGAGACTCCGGCTAAATTCTTTGCAATTAGAAAAATAAAATAAAATTTTATCTAGCACAAATGAACTTTCAAGAATCATTTTGATTCTTACAAAACTAAAATTAACAATAAATAGAGCACTCGAAATAATTGCTTAAAATTTTCTGGCCAACATTATTCAGCTGAAATGAAAAAATGAAAAAGTAAACCATTAAATTAAACAATCAAATAAATTTGTACATAATAATTTGTACTTTAACACTAAACACATTTTATAGTTATAAAGCCAAGTAATGCACAAGAAAAGTTATTAATAACTAGTGATGTAAATTTTCCAGTAAAATTTGATTCAAAATTTACTGGTAAAATTTACCGGGATATTGTAAATCAAGCAGGGTAAATTTTCCTTAGAAAAAAATTTTTTTTTAAAGAAAATAAAAATGAGTGAAAAAAAATTTTTTGTTTTAAACATAGATAAGTATTTGACTTTATAAAAATCCCCAAAATTTTTTTGTGCATGTTTGCACAGAACTCATTAAGGTCAAGTTAATAATAAGAACATTTTTTACAGTTTTTAAATTTTCAAAGCACTTTTTTTTAATGAGAAAATGTGATTGAAAGTGTATGCAAATACCTAACTAAAGTAAACTTCAAACTATGTAATATCAAAAATTTTATAAAGTTTTACAGTTTTACTTTGACTTGAAAATTGCATTGTGCAATCAAGTAAAAAGTACTATAACAAACAAAAGGAAGACAGTTTTTAAAAAAGCTTAAACTTTAAATAAACATCAAAACAGCAGTAGATATATTTTGCGCTCATGTCACGATAGAGACACTAAACATATTAATGTGCTTAGGTAATTAGTCAAGTTTGCACAAAATATATAACACAAATTAAACAGACAACTTTTTTTCTTATACAAAAAAATATTTAAGTAGGTTGGCCTACTTTTAAACAACTTTTTTTTTGGAATTAATAAAAGTTAGAGAAAAAAAAGTTTCAATTTAAAAGTTTAGACCACTACATCAAGAAATATCTTTTAAATGATGTTAGAGAAAAAAAATATTTAATCCACCAATCCTTATGGTTACAAACAACTTTTTTACTTTTATCTTATTCTTTAGAGTAATTATTTTTTTAATTATTAAAATAAAAAAAATAAAAAAATTCAGTAAGTAAAGCTTTTAAATATTATTTTGAAAAAGTTGAAATTTTTTATGAAAATCTTTACTAACAATCTTTAGGAGTAAGTAGATTTTTAAAAATCTTTTGAAAAAGTTTTTTAAAATCACTTTGAAGTAAATGTTTAAATTAGAAGTAAATTTTAAAACTCTTAAGAAGCATGTTTAAAAATCCTTAAAAATAAATGTTTAAAACTAAATACACTATAAATTAAATAATGATTAAATAATGATGATTTTTAAAAATCACATTATAAAATACAAAATAAATAAAAACATTTATGTTTGCATCATATAAAAATTTACTTGATCCGCTGTAAAGAGTCCTTTATTTCTTGATGTATATATGCAATTCATATAATGGTCATAGTCTTCATTCATTCCATATCTTGTAAAAAAAATTAAAGATATAAATATTAAATTTTAAGTTTATTTAAAGTATTTTTTTTGTACAGTATTGTGAAAATTAATTAAGTCAAATTTAAAAACATGTAAAAACCACGATTTGTTAGGTTTCTTACTCTAATATAATAAAAAATACTTTATGTGCATTTCTTGAATTGCTATGAAATTCTGCACATAATTTAGCATGAAATCTACCAGTCTCACACATGAATTAAATATATGTGTTTTAGAACTAAATCTGAAGGATGGTGGCAGTAAGCATAATTTTAGTCAGTCAGTTATGTTTTTACGTTATTTTATTATGTTTCTTATCTTTACAATTGCACAAAAATTATCAGTAGGATTTGGTGAGTTGCCAAGCCATTAAGTGTTTCTCATTGAAACTTATTAGAATATTGAAGTTAATTTTTTAAATATTTTTCTTGGTAAAAAAAAAAGTAAATAAACAAACATCTTTGTTTATTTACTTTTATTTCTCTTTTAAATCATAGTTAAGTTGTAGGAAACATAAAATAACACAAACATGGAGAAAAAAAACTGATGAAATTAATTTTCACAACCCTGTAATATGCTGAACTAAAAACAAAAATAAAAACAAACGATAATGATCTGTTAGTTTTCAAACTACAGGTACATTTTAAAAAATTGCTAACTGACATCTAACAAAATAAATACAGGTGACAATAGGGTGATTTTGTGTGAAAACATCCATGGCATGCAACCCTAAGACTCAAATTTTGCAAATTTTTGAACCATTTAAAGAATTTAGTAAATTATGAACATATTGAAAAATTTAACGTCTAATTTCAATTGGTTCTTAAGATATAGCTATTTTAAGTTTGCTTCCAACCAACAAAAATCAGCCTTTTTAAAAAATGGTTTTGGTCCTAGTTTCTGTTAGTTTGTGTTGGAAAGCTGAAAATGTGTACCTTTACATATTTTAGGCCAACAAATTCAATGAAACATCTTAAAATATTTAAAAACAAACATAATACCTAAAATTTAAACATTTACCACAATTTTACTGGGGCTAGTCCAATGACAAAAATGTCAACGTAGCTCAATTATTTTTTTTTTTTAGAATTTGTCCTAAATAGTAAAGTTAAAGTTATTAAGAATTGTGATCTTTTCTAAAACAGAAATAAAAACATGGTCAAATCAACTTAAATTTAGTGCTTAAAAAAAGGTATTTTGATAAACTAAATTAGTTTAAATAGGTGATAATTAGACATTTTTGTAACTGAAACAATTTTGGCAACATCAAACTGTTCTTTTAGTTGATGTTGCTAGCTGTTTCTGTTTTCTTTTAAACTTTATAAAATCTGATCCTGAAAAATTATAGTTTCAAAGGGGGAAAATTATATAAATACAGATGTATATCGCAAATTTAGTTGTTTTTTTTAGAACTTGAATTAAATAGTTTAGTTGGAGTTATTACAAAGAAACAGGGGCCTTAAAACAGGAATAAAAACAACTTTAAATATACTTAAATTTATTACTTATAAAAATTAGTTTCGTATTTATCAAACAAAGATAAATAAACTTAAAAAACGAAGGCTCGAAAACAAATAGAGCACTTGGAAAAAAGTTCAAGAAACAAAAGTAATATACAAAATTAACAAATTAAAAACTCAAAAAAATTAAAATTATTTAATAGTTATAGTGCTATAATCATTCACATCAATGTAATATGTTCGCACTGATTTTTTTGTTGGGTCTTTTTATATATATATACATACATATATATATATATATATATATATATATATATATATATATATATATATATATATATATATATATATATATATATATATATATATATATATATATATATATACATCTGGCTTAACCAAACCCTCAGTTGATGTAGCAGCACTCCCTTGCGAGTCAGGCTATTTATCAGTCGATGTATGTACTTTTTGTTTTCTACAAAAGTTTCTAACGGGTACAATTTTTTTAAAAAAATCATGCTTATGTGGACAAGAAATTAGCGGGTACACTATAATGTTCCTGATAATGCTAATGTTCCCGTAAGTGTTTGTTTTTTTGTAAAATCTGTCCCCGCAAGTGCTAAATATATATATATATATATATATATATATACATATATATATATATATATATATATATATATATATATATATATATATATATATATATATATATATATATATATATATATATATAACAATAATCTTTTTTGTTGTGAAGGAGCACTTTTAACCTTAACACAATCTTTTTTACCAGGCATATTTCTAGAATGTTCTTCTTATTGAAGTTATAAGAATGTTTATCTTATTGAAAAAAATCTTGAACCAAAACTGTAAGAACAGTCTGATATAGCAAAAACTGTTTCAGTTACAAAAATGTCAAATTAACACCTTTTTTAATTAATTTAGTTTATCAAAATACCTGTTTTTAAGCATTAAATTTAAGTAGATTTGACCATGTCTTTATTTGTTTTAGAAAAAATCACACTTCAATTTTTTGTAATAACTTTAACTTAACTATCCAGGACAAATTTAAAAAAAAAAATCGAGCTAAATTGGCATTTTTGTGATTGGACTTGCCCCAGTAAAATTATGATAAATGTTTAAATTTTAGGTATTATGTTTGTTTTTAAATATTTTAAGTTGTTTCATTGAATTTGTTGACCCAAAATATGTAAAGGTACAAATTTTCAGTTTTGCAACACACATATAACAGAAGCTAGGAACAATACCATTTTTAAAAAAGGCGGATTTTTGTTGGTTGGAGGCAAACTTAAAATAGCTATATCTTTGGAACCAATTGAAATTAGACGATAAATTTTTTAAGATATTTATAATTTACTAAAATCTTTAAGAGGTTTAAAAATCAGTAAAACCTGAGACTTAAGATTCAATTTTCAAAAAAAATTGGTTGTTTTCACATGAAATCAACCAGATGTTAATTGCAAACAAAAAGTTTTAAAAAATTTATTAATGATAACTTGAAGTTTAATTTTTTGCATAGTTAGCTATGCGCTAAAGTTGACATCATAAAAAAATTAAAAAATTAAAATAAGGACTTCAATATAAATACCATCTGAAAGTTTAGGCATGTATTATCAGATATTATAACAAAGAAAAAAAAAATTTCATTATTCTTTGATTTTTCTTCTTTTTTAGAAAAAAATGCTATAATTTAAGTCATTGTTTGCTTTCATGTTTTTTAGATTTTCATCCATTACTCATTAATTCATTACAATCATAGTTGTAACTAAATGTTTAGCACCTAGTTCTGTAAATTTATAGCCTATTTCCAAATTCCCTTGTAATGATTAAAATATAAAGATAAAATTATTTATACAACTTTCTCAATTCCTATAGGAAATCTCTCTTATATTTCTTTTATTTGTACTTTATTACTATAGAATCTTTATTATACTTTTTATATACAAAATAAAGATAATAATGCTAGTAATTTGTAACGACCATCAAAAGCAAGACAAATGTTAAAAATAATCTTAAACAATATTATTTGATTATATGAGCAATGCTTATACAATTATTATATATAATTAATATATTAATTATATATAATTAATATATAATATTTTGCTTATTGATATTATTTTTCCCATTTAACAAATGTATAAAAATTACATACCTTAAATCAGAATTACAGTCCATATTTGTACACTTCCCTCGATTTTCTGGTATTGTGCTAAAAAAAAAAATATTTTCATATCTTCAACATAAATAAATTCAACTGCTATTATAAGGACTAATTAAAAATTAAATAAAAAATATTTTAAATAACATATAAACAAAACATGTTTTAAATAACATAAATATGCACTCTCAGTTCTAGAACTCTATTACTGGTATTCAAACACTAGAAATCTTTTAATGGATTGACCAGGTCAAAATTTTCATTTTTTCTATTGGATCAGACTATTTTTCAATTACTATAATTGCTTTGCCTAAATTTATTATATTATTTTATTATTTCAATTTATTTGCATTTAAATAAAAATACAAAAAGGTGATACAGGTAATTGGAGAATTACTCTTATGTAACACCATGTTTAAAACAGTAAACAGTGTCTCTGAATATTATATGTTTTTAAATTCAATTTAAATAGAGACAATGAAGAGGAATACACCATATAATCAGGTAAAGAACTCCATATCTTAGTAACTCTTTCACTGAAAAAAAATCTCCTTATATCATTGATATAGTTGTTATGTGATGTTAATTTTTGGGAATGACATCTAGTTGAATAATGAGTAGGAGCGAGAGTAAAAAACTCAGAAAAAGACAAATCAAATAAGTTGTGCATAATCTTATAAGTCATTAAAAGATCAAATTTTATTCTCCGCCATTCAATAGAGTCAAGATTGAAGATATCAAGTCTTGAAGCATAATCTTTATATGGAATACAACACGGTTCGCAGACAATTCTTGTATAATGATTCTGGACCTTTTTTACCCAACGTATATCTTTTAACAGATACGAATTTTACACAGGGGTACATGACTCTAAAATTAGTCAAATATAAACTTTATAGGCACTTATCAAAAGTTGGGTAAAGAAGTCTTTCATCATTACTGATGAAAGACTTTAAGAGTAAGCGCAAGAACTTGCTTTGTTAGCAATGTGAGAACAGTGTTTAGAAAATTTCATATCGGAAGAAATAAATATTTCAATATCTTGGATTGAGTCAATTGATTCGATAGGCGTGTCGATATCCAAAAAGTATAAATGTTCTGGTAATAGATTCTTTCGGTATCGCAGGTGAAAACATTTTTTGGTAGATACATTGAGTTGACAATTATTTGACAATTCTGAAATTCTCTTTAAAGCATTTACAAGGTTGATATTGCTTCCATCTTTTCTCGCTTGATACAACTTGCTGTCGTCTTGATTCCACAATCCCCTTCAATACACGAGGTTATATCATTTATAAAAGCTTTTGTAACGCTTTCCATGATAATTGATTCCATAATTTTACAGACACATACATGTCATCAAATGAACTATAAGTTTAGACTTTAAATAAAAATAATGCACAAACATAAATTATGTTTAGATGTTCAATTTATGACTTAAAAAACTAAGGTTTTGGGTAAAAATATGATATACACAGTTTGCTACAACTTTTTATTGGTTAATCAGATTGACTCAATAACATCTTCAAAATTGATTATAAAATACATGCTGCTTCTAAGTAAAGAAGAGAACTGTAATGCAAATGCAAAACTTAATGATACATGCAAAAAATCAAAAAAAAAATGTATGAAAAAAGCTACAGATACTTTTAACAACTGGTTTAACCCAGAGCTCATATCTAGGTTTAACTCTACTCTGGATAAGCAATTTGATATAGCAAAGTTTAAGTTAAAAAGTGTGACATAATTTATTTTGAGGAGTCGAGATGGTGTCCCTGTCAATGCTTTTGGTGTGCATTGTCAAGGCCGCTCAAGGAGCTGAGACAATTGCATAGTTTATTGCTTAGGAGGTCGTGCTTTATCTATGAATAAGTCAAGCTCTCTTTAAACTTAAATTATGCCTAAAGTAACCCAAAATATTAAACATAAAAAACCATCCCTGCCACCTAACTGTTTTAATATATCTTTTACAAATAATTGTGGTCAGCAATGAACCTTCCATCAGCTAAATATCACCTCTTTCAAAATTCACCAGACTTGCTTGTTTTAGTAAGACTAATTTAAATTCCAATATCCTTTGAATCGCAAAGTCACATGCTTGGCTTAAGGGTATAAAAACGCATCAATTCACCTATTTGTCGTGAAATCAGGTTTGAATTCTTAGACTATTTCATTATCTGCTTCCATTTTACCTTTACTGCTTTACTCTATGTCCATTTTTTATTCCCTCTTCACTCTATCACCTTTCTCTTTGTTCTTTATTGTTCTCTTCTTTCCAAGACTACACTCAATTAGATGTAATTTCAGATCAGATTGTCCATGCCTTCTTTTTTTCTCTATTATTGTTATAGGTGACTTTAATGTTCATCACACTGAATGGCTTGGCTGTAAGGCTGTAACACCACTGACCCTGCTAGCACTAAAGTCTATAACTTCTGCATTTCTCTATCTCTTACTTAGATAGTTTAACTTTGATAACAAACATTTATTACAAGAAATAATATAAAAAAATGGTGTTTTATGCTAAGCTTCATTATTCTTATTCTTCATTAGTTCACTAAATCTCGTATCTTATCTCAGAAGTTAGGCTTTATAGACTTTTAGAAATTCTTCAACAGCGTCATTAGCAAGGTTAGGTCTAACAATGTCCCTGTTCATATATTTGGCGTGCATTGTCGAGGCCACATCGGAAGCACTTTGTAATAGCTTAGGGTTTAATAATAGTAATGAAGCAGTTGCTTTGACTATTAGATAGTGAACTATCTTATATTAAATCAGCCTTCTTTCTGTTATTAGTAAGGTCTTTGAGTCTTTGATAAACAATTTTCTCACATCCCATCTTGAGTCAAATAACTTACTGTCAGACAATCAATACAGTTTTTGATCCCCTTGCTCTACAGCTGACTTGATAACTACTGTGACTGAAAGATTTTATCATGCATTAGATGGAGCCAAAGAGGCTAGGACTACTGCTCTTGACATATCTGAGGCTTTTGACAAAGTTTGGCATGCTGGTCTTCTCCATAAGCTTGTTTCATATGGTGTATCTGATAAAATTTTTGAGATGATCAAATCATTTCTTTCAAACTGCTTTTTAAAAGTCATCCTTGAAGGCCAAAACTCTTTTTCATTTCCATCTATATTTGTATCTCAAGATTCTATCCTTAGTCCTGTTTTGCTTCTTATCTACATTACAACCTTACATCTAAATAACATCTAAAGTAGCTCTTTTTGTGTAATGTAAGCCTTACATCTAAAGTAGCTCTTTTTGCTGATAACTCAACTTTGAACTGCTGTCTCAACAAAAAAAAAATATCTTTTCAATCGCTAAGAACAGGCAGGCAATCTTGAATCTGACCTCACTTCTTATGTAACAGATTACACAGTGGCTTGTAAACATTAATCCGAACAAAACTCAGTTATTTACTGCAAATAACTATTGCAATACTGTTGACATTTCTGAATGACAAGCCTCTCTGATGAATGGCAACCCTCTCATGAAGTCCTCTTCTTTATGTCGCCTTGGGTTATTGTTCATGACCTTTCATGGAAACCATGTATACAATTGATTGCTAAATTAGAATCCACTTGCCTCTCTTTATCGTGCTTGCCATTTTGTTACTCCTGATTCCAATCAATACCTTTACAAATCTCTTATTCGCACCTGTATGGAATACTGTTATCATATTTGGGCTGGTTTGATGCTCTTCTTCTTCTAGATAAGGTCCACACATTGTTAACGTAATTTGGACCCGCTCAATCTTGGGCCTCTTTTTTCCCATTGTCATAAAGTTGCATCTCTCTTCAAATACTATCATAGTCATCTCTCTTCAAATACTATCATCTTCTACAAATACTATCATAGTCGCTGCTCAAAAAGCTATCATCTTTAGTTCCATTAACTAAAATTCATTCTCCCTTGACTCTTCATTCAGCAAAGTCTTATTGGATTACTGTATCTGTCTCTACATCTCTAAAAATTTTAATCACCTTGTTTTTTTTCCCACATTTTAACTCTCTCCCAGCTTCATGTTTTCCTGACTCATATAACACACAACTTTTCAAGTTTTCTGTCAACCATTTCTTTGCTCTTTAACTCTATTCTTTTTTTTTTCTAGTAGCTCCCAACTTAATAGTGATTCCTTGCAGCTTTGCTGGGATAATAAAATAAAATGAAAAAAACATATTTATTATATTCAATTTCATATTTATAAATCCAAACTTAATCATTGTCACCAAAATGCAGAGGTTTGAGAAATTGCAAAAAAAAAAAAAAAAAAGATAAAAAGTGTCACATCAAAAATCACCTCACCTCAACTTAATTCAAATTTTAATACAATCAAATCTTATGGTTAAAAAATCACACACGAAAAAAATTAATTATATTTCAAAGTAGATTTTTTATAATTATCAAATAGTTATATTTTTATAAATAAAGGTTTTGTCTTAAAAAAGAACCTGGTTCGATCACCATCTCTTAGATTATCACTGCACATGTACTGCAAAACAATCTCGCAATTAGAATTCTTTTCACCACAAGAATGTTGATTTGTCCATTCAATTGTTAGCTGTGATCCTTCAAAATAGTACAAGTTGCCAACATTGTATCCACCACGGTTGTTATTTTGTGAATCAAACATGCTATATTTTAAAATTAAAATATATTATTATAAATAATATCTACAAAACAAAAAATGTAATTTTGAATGTTTTATTTATTGTGCTTTTAAAATAAGCTTGTAATAAAAATGGTATAATGGTTTAAATAATTAAAAAAAGATTCATAGGGGCATATTGAAATAGAGATAGGGTCTTAACACCAGTCAGACACCAATTAAAAGCTTGTACAAACCTTGTTATGAAAAAAATATGTAAAATTAAGATTGGGGTGAAGATTTAAGATAAATAATAAAAGATGTGATATATTGAAGTTAGAGGAGGGTTCAATGACTATGCATTACAAAATGTATAACCATTGATGTTGAATAGTTTCTGTTCTGCAGAATTTAAAATGTATAACCATTGATGTTGGATAGTTTCTGTTCTGCGGAATATGCACTTAAGAAGTAGCTGTACAAAAGTTATTAAAAAGAATTTTTAAAAAGAATTACTAATTTATATTGAAATGTTATTAAGCACAATATTTGTGAAATAACATTTTTAAAGATAAATTAAATGTAGATGCAAATTTTATTGTAGATCAAAGGCTATCAAAAGCTCATTAACAGTCAAAAAAAGAATATGAAATATTTTTTTTTAATATTGGAAAAAAAAATTGTTGCTTGTCTTTACATGAATGAATTTGTCAATTGTAATAGATTTACAAAATAGTTTTGTAAATCTATAACAACAAATGATAGGGTACTATAAAATTTGTCCAAAATGGGTGTACAATAAAAATTTCCCCGTGTGGTGTACAAAAAAAGATTTAGGAAATTAAAAAATATTGTAGATTGACAAGTAAATAATAAAATTAAGTAAGTAGCTATATATAAATATAATAATAACCAGTAAGGAAATAACAAAGCAAAATAAAAATAAATTTGGTGTCAATTATTCTTATCAAATTGATATTTTTATCAAAGGAAATTTATTTTCCTTACTATATTATATTCAACATATTGTATCACCCATTCAACATATTGTATCACCTAATATTACTTGTTAAAAAACTTTTGGCTGTACAATTTTAATTTGCGCACAAAACTATAAATTACATACACAAACATCATTATTGATATGCCAAAACAAATCATTTGGAATAGTTTAACTGCCTTTTGATATATGTTTATTCAGACAGTAATATATATGGTAACTATGGTAACTATTGTAAAAAATTCTTAAGATTTGATAAAATGACTGTCAGAAAAGCTGCAATATTTTTTAAACAATATTAAAAAATAAAAATATTTAAAAACATTTGCAATATTTTTTAATATTTCTTTAAAAACATCGCGATGAATTTTTAAAAGAATCTTATAAAGCTATAAAAATATGCCTATGATTTATGAGTAGCTATGATTTATGAGTAGCTATGATTTATGAGTAGCTATGATTTATGAGTAGCTATGATTTATGAGTAGCTATGATTTATGAGTAGCTATGATTTATGAGTAGCTATGATTTATGAGTAGCTATGATTTAATGTTATATGTTGCATACAACAAATTTGCATATCAAAAAAAAAAAAAAGTAGTAGAAATTCCAACAGCATAAAAGACATTTCAAAACAATATTTTATTTTAAACCTGCAATAAACAATTTCGTTGTGTAAATTTTGAAAAGGAAAAATGATAATTTTTTTTAAATAAAAAGTATTAAAAAACAGGCTAATTATTTATTAAAGAAATAAGCTAAATAAATAAAATTAATTAATTAATTACAAAAACAGACAGTGTTTAATAACAGTTAATTCTTTTATTTATTATTACTTTTATTTGTTTATTTATTATTAGTTTTATTTATTGTTTCACATATTTTAAAAAATCAGTTTTTGTTTTTTCTTAACATTTAATAAAATTATCACTAAAAAAGATATGGAAGCATAAATTCCAAAACCTTTTTTTTTATTTATTTTGTAAAATTCCTTTTTTTGCAGTTATCATAGTTAAAAGTAATTAGAAATTGATTTTAATAAAACAAATAACTAAAAAATATAATTATCAAGTGCTGAATTAAATAAATAAATACATATGTTTACCCACAGTTACTGTGTTTTTGCCAGAATAGTGGATAAAACACTTGCTCAGCTGTGCAACAAATTATTATAATAGTAAAAAAATAATAATAATAATACTAATGTTCAAAAGATTTTAATTTAACATTCAAGAGTTTTCTTGTGGAATAGTTCATTAAATAATCACCATTCATCATTATATAAGATTTTAGTTTTTTCTTATAAATAGTTATGTTTTTTTTCGTCATGGATGTTATTTGGAAGTATATTCCAAAGTTTAGGACCATAGTGGGATAATGCTTGATTATCAAAATGATTGCTGCATTGTGTTTCCTTTAATTTTAGTATTCTTCCTGACATTGAGTAGTGAATTAAATTGCATAATGACGCTGGTGCTTCCAGTATAATAGATTTGTGCATTATTAAAAGGACCTTGAAATATATTTGTCTCTAATTTTTAGCCAATGCAATCTGTTAAATTCCTGGTTGCTTACATGATTTTCTATTCTAGTTTTAAATACCAGACTTGCTGCACAATTTTGAACAGAATGTAGGTCTTTTAATAGCGACTTTTCAATTCCAAAGTAGAGGGAGTTGCAATAATCTAGCGGTGCAAATATTAGTGAACATACTTGGTGCACAAATCTTTGTGTAATAAGAATTGTTTTATTTTTGCTTAATATATTTTAGCAGTTTTTGTTTATTTGTGCTTTTAATGATAATTCATTGTCAAGTATCACTCCTAAACTTTTTTCAACAATTTAGTCAACAAATCTAATGCATTCCTTGTTAATAAAAGTATCTTTAATAAAAATATCTTATTGAATGCTAGGTGATGCCATAATTAATTTTTTGTTTTTAATTGGTTAATACATAAGAATGATTCACTCATCCATTTAGATATGTATTCAGACATTTTGGTATATCTAGGACTACAACACACACACACACACACACACACATATTATTCCGAGCTATGTTCTGGAATTTCTCGGAAATGAAAATAGCTCTCCCGATTATTAAAATCTAATTTTTATAAATGTGACTTTTACAATTTATATTATAAGAATTATTATAGATTTTTTATTTTTTTTTTCATAAAAACAGCCAACAATGCTTTCATGTAGTAGATAATTATTTTAAATATAATTTTTTTAAATCTTTTATTAAAAATCATATAAAAACAGAGACTTGAAAATCAACATGAAGTGAAAATGTAATATGTTAGAATGTGCATCAAACATGTCCTTTATTTTAAAAATCAAATATTAAAAAATAGACTCTAGTTAGGAAACATTTAAGAGCAAGGATCAAGTTTTTTTTAATGAAATTCAATTTTTTTTTTTTACTCAAAGATAATTTTTATGCTTTGAAAAGAACTTTTTTTTTTTTGCAACTTCTTATGACTTCATATCTTTGAATTTCAAACATATTTAGTATCAATAAAGTGTTTTCTTGCTTTGGGAGCTAAACAAGAAGATATATTACATTATTCAAAATTATTTTTAAAAATAATTTTGATAATGTAATAAAATAAATACTATTTTTTTTTTTTAATTAGTTTTTATTTTTACCTTAATGAAGAGATTTTATAAAAGTTTCAAAAACATAAAAGAAAAGCAGAAATAGACCAAGAAACCAAAAAAACTACCAAATTGATGCATTTTTTACAATTTCTGAAAGTCAAATTGAAATCTCTGCATCAAAGTCAGGTCCAACATTCTTTTGAAAATGTTAATGTTTTTGAAGCAGATATAGACTTGCAATTAAGTAACTGGATTATGAGGTTGACAATCTAATGGAGATATTTTATTTTGGATGGAGCATGGATCAGAAAATGTTTAACATCTAAATGACAATTTTTGAGCATCAAAACATGATAAAATTTTTGAACATCAAAACAACATTACAAAAAGCATCATAAATCTAAATCATTTTTTATAGGAAAAAGAGCAAATAGCACAAAATATAATTTGTGTTTTTTGCTTTACGTTAAAAGTATTTAAGATTTCCAATTACTTCCTTGCAACTAATGATTTAAAATATATGAAAAATTCTGTTTCGTTATTGAAAAGTCAAAAAAAAATCATCAAGCATCGAGAGGCTTTTATGGTTTGTTTGGTTTGCAATACATAAGATAATCAATTAGTGCAAGAGACAAGAAAAAACAGATATATTAACAAATGGTTCTGAAAAAATCTTGTTTTTAGAGGTTCAAACAAATTATTTGGTATAGAGGCTAATTGAAGTTTTATTGGTCTTCTAGAACTGATTGTCGAATTTGACCCTTTTTAAAAGAACATATTAGAAAAAATGCTCATATTATTTCTGAAAAAACTCCATACCTCTCCAAAACGCTAAAGTTAAATGATAAGCTCATTTCATTAACTGCAAAAAAAGTTTTTGAATCAGTTGTGGCAGATGTAGAAAAATCAAAACACTCTGGAATTTCTTTGATTCTACCCTATATCGTACATAGATCAACTTTTTGTAGTTCAAAGATATACTGATACAACCGAGTCTTTAGAAAGATTTTCATATTTTAATAATATTAAGGATCATGCAAGTGGAAATTAAGCTGACATGAGAGTCTAGTTTTTAGAAAATAAAGCTGGATTAAACTTTTTAGACTACAAATCTTAAATAATGCTTTTAACATGATAATGATGGATAATGATGGATAATGCAGGATAATACAGGATAATGCTTTTAACATGAGTGGAAAGTACAAGGAGATGCAGAAAACTATTTTATAAAAAAAACAGTCCGGCAAAGTTATTAGCATTGAAATGTGTGGAGATAAGGTTTACATTGAACTTATAAATTATTTTAGAATATAACAGCAGATTTACATTTTTTCCTCTTTGTCTACGAAAGTTGAGATGCTTTACAAAAACATATGAAAAATGGGTAAATTTTCTCAAGATAATTTTGGATGAATAAAAAAATAACTTTAGATGTGTGCTGCCTAATGTTATCATAACTTTCTGATTGGTTAATCTTTGGTTAATAGATCTTCCCCATGATATTAAAGCACAAGCTAAGTTATTATTACCTGATGTTGACTATACCCAAAGAATACATTAAGTTAAGAAAAAATTTAAGGGGGAATCCCCAATCAATTAAGAATGTATTAAGCCCTAAAGAAAATTTCAAAAAGTGTGTCTTAAAATTTTGAAAACTTTTTTTCGAATTAAAAAAAAAAGGTTTTGGCATACGAAGAAGCTCACATAGCTTTTGGATTTTTGATTAATACTAACAAGTTGTCAAGTAAAACCATATAGATATGGATGATTCAACATTTCATGAAATTTTGCAAATCCACAAACTCATAAAAAGTAATTATCTAGAAAATACTTTGACACATTTATTCCTATACAATTTGATTAAAGAATATAAAATAGACACCATTTCTTTACCTAGAGATAACTTAAAGAATTTTTTTAATTCTTGATGATTACTTATTATGAAAAAAGCTTTTCTAAACTATAATTAATTAAGAGCTGCTTAAGATCAACAATGACGCGAGCCACTTTTAATAAACTTGCTATATTATTCAGTAATACTGATATATTAAAAACACTCTGCATTCTTTGATTAATGGCTTTTCAAGAGAAAAGCGCAGAAATAAAATTGTGTAATATTTTTATTTCTGTACTTTTATTTGAAAAGGTTAGAAGATAAATTTTTGTCTAACCTTTTCAAATAAAAGTTATAAAATAAAGTAAAATAAAAAATGAAAGCTTTTTGAAAACTTCAATTTATTCCATAAGAAATGATATAAATTTTTACAGAAATTTGTAGACAACATTATTAGTTTTCAAGGGACTAACTGTAACTTATATACTTGACTAAAAAAATGTTATGCTAAAAAAAGGGCCTCGAAACTTGGCTCTTCCTGGGACTTTTTCTACTACTTTTCCAAATAATTTTTTTTTCCTACATTACTCAGGTTTCACAGTACTAATAGTACTGTGAAACCTGAGTAATATAGGAAAAGTATATATATTATACTTTACTTATTTATTAATACTTATTTAAAAGATGCAAATGCTTGCATCTAAAGTATAGATAGTTACTAGCTATATTTTAGATGCAAGCATTTGCATCTTTTAAATAAGTATTAATAAATAAGTAAAGTATAATATACTAATTAACTATTAAGTTTGAGAAAGTAAATAAATAATTTTAAGTTTAATCAACTATATTGATTAAACTTAAAGGAAAAAAAGAGCTATAATGATCATGACATCCATGGTATCTATTTCTATGACAATTATGTCGATGATCAAAAGCAAAGTGCATCATAAAAAAATGTATAACATTTGAGAAAGTATAGCAAACATTTGAGAAAAGTTGATAGGAAAAATTTGGTAGGCTTAAAAACATTTTGGTAGGCTTAAAAACATTTTGGTAGGCTTAAAAACATTTTGGTATGCCTAAAAACATTTTGGTATGCTTAAAAACATTTTGTTAGGCTTAAAAACATTTTGGTAGGCTTAAAAACATTTCATAGACTAGATTACTATTACAATAAAATTTTATAAAAAAATATTGAAACAAGAAAATGATAAATTATTATTATTATTTTTTTTTTTTTTGTGTGCGTTTATAAAGGTGTTCCACAGAAGTCTTTATGGTATTATCACAAAGCACTGTGGAAGACCATTTAACTAAGAAGTTTATACCTCCTTCTTTACAAATGTTGCTTATTGAGCTAAAGCCAGTGTTGCAATCTAGCCATTGCAACATTAAATCTAACCATTGCAACATGGTTGCATTAATCTTTTGAAAAATCTATTGAAATCTATTGAAAAAAAAAAATTACCGATTTGCATTATCGCGTTCTCTTCCAGATTCATCGAGACGATTGTTGCTTCCTCTAAAATTAAAAAATAATAACTCTATAGCATTCATTTTTATCAAAAACACAAATTTAGTTATAAGTTTAACATATTGATATATTTTCTATTTCATTAATAAAAAATTATTTCTTTGAAAAAAATTTATTGGTAATGTTTTATATAATCACACCAATTAAATTAATTTATTATTTGATCATAAATCCATTTTCAACCAAAATACCTGAAAAATCTATTAATGATTAACTTTTTTTATCTATTTTTGATTAATTTTATCTGTCTGTTTGTTACTAATTTTATTTTATTTTTTTATTTTTTTTGAAAAGGGAGGAACTGTAACTTAATGAACAATTTATAAATTTGAAAGCACTTTTTTTTGTTGAAACAGTCTGTTTTAACAAAAAACAAAACTAATGTTTTTTTATTAACAATATTAGTGTCACTAAAGTGTTTTCATTCTGAATGTTAAGAGTTTATAAATATGATAAGACCATCTGTGTACAATGTATAAGTTACTATGAATTATGGTCAAAGTTTTTTTGAATATCATTATGAATGTTTTATATACATCTAATAAAACTAGGGACCAGTCAAAACTGGAGGTAGAAGGAGTTGTAGAAGAGGAGGAGAAACTGGTTGTAGAAGGAGCATTAAAGCAAAATTTTAAAAATAAAAATTGTAGTTCAAGAGATTTCTAGGTGGAAAAAAAAACTTTCATTTAAAAACACATTTAAGAAAATAAGTTAAAAATATATATAATTTTAAAAAAATTTTTAAACTAAACTTTAAATGTTTAAATTTCATTCCAAAATGAGTTTTCCTTTTGATCACCAGTAAAGATATCTTGTCCAAATAGTTATTAACCCAATTCTCTTAAAATATGGAATATGGTCAAATAAGGTTGACAAACCATCTTATTTAAATCTTATTAAATATGGAATATGGTCAAACAAAGTTGAGGAACCATCTTATTTGCAAACATATTAAAGTACAATTAAGTGCAAATTGACTGTATGGTCATTAAAAAAAAGTGCAAACTTATGATCATTAAATTTTTAATGATTTATTAATAACTAGTCAAATAAAGATATTTAAACATTATTATACTTATAGATATTAGATATAAACATGAGATTTATAGAAAATTCAATACTCGGAATGAGGGTTGGCTTTTTTTTTTATGAAATAAAACACAAAATAATAGTCACAACTAAAAAAATAATGCAGGATGCAGTTGCAAATTTGATTTAAGTATTCCGATTTTGATTCCCACCATGCCCCCACTACCAGGGACGTACAGGAAGCAGTTATAAATTTGCATTTATTTTTAAATGTGGGTAGTTAGTAACTTAACTGTATAACTCCGAAACACGAACTTTGATAAACAAGGTTACTGCACAGAGAAACAAATTCAATGCAGTACTACCAGGGACATGGTGGGGATTGAACTGTGAACACTTAGTTTACTCTATAGTAGATATTATATCGAACTATTTCAAAAAATTTAAACGAATGTAAATTATAACTTATATATATTGAATATTCCAACTTGAACTTAAAATTTGAAAGTTGAATCAGTTAAACATAAATTTTGGACATAGGTCTTTGAAGCTTGAACTTAGGTATTAAACATTAAAGCCTTAAAGAAAATAATGATTACTTAATTAACAATAGTATTTAGTAATTACTAATTAAATAATTACATGGAACTTGACTTACCTCACCACATCAATTCAATATCAATATTAAGCCTAATAGAATTTAAAATTAAATTAGAAATTATATATTAATTTGAACATTAAATTGTAAAAAAAAAACAATTTTTGATTGAACAAATGAGTGAAGATGGTAATATTAATAAAAATTATTAATCTATTATTTATTAAATAATAACTATATTAACTAAAGAAAATTTTAAGATCTAATTAAAAATCCCAACTAAAATCAATAAGGATCTAATTAAGATCAAGAAGACACAAGACAATTAAAATAAATTTACTATACTATCCAGTAATGTCAATATTTTAAAAACAATCAACATAGATTCTTTGATTGATGACTTTTCAAGAGGTCATAATTTGCGGTATCAAAAGCTTAGGACATCTCAATCAAAACTTCTAATGTTATAATAGAATCCTAAATATCATTGGCTAGTTCAACTATTGTGTGTTCAGTTGATTGAATTCTTTTAAAACCAAACTTTTTTCTATACAACATTTAAGTTCAAAACAACATTTCTATACAACATTTACATTTAAAACAATGTTTCTAAACAACATTTATATTTATAAAATTGAATTACTAAGTTCAAGTAATCATAATTTAAACTTTTTTTTTAAATTAGCGACAAAGATTAGCTAAAGAAAACATTCAACTTTATTATGTTGAAAAATAATTGAAATTTTTTACATAATACTTTTTCTCTACAACAGAAAGGTATTAAAATAATTAATTTGTTGTTCTAATATAAAAATTATTAATTTTATATTTAATTCCATAGCAGTTTTCTGCAAATTAAATGTAAAATTCAAACAGAAAAAAAATGCACAAATAATAATTTTTGAATTCATTTGAATCATTCAACTTTTCACTGCAAGACATATCAAATTGCAGCAAAAAAATAAAGATTATAAATAAAAAATTAAAGTCCTGAAAAAATGCGCTAGTAGTCCTCTATATGAAAACTTAATTTCACAATTTGTATTTGATAAATAAAACTGAAGATCCTCAACTTGAGCATATCATTATTTACATTATGTAGATGAGTTCAATTTGAAATTAAAGACTTTCGGTTTAAAAATTATAACTTTGTAAGCACTATATACTAACCCCCTTTGTAAATATATGTTAAAAAAAACTGCTTTGTAAATATATGTTAAAAAAAGTCTTAACCTAACTACTTTAAGTCTTATTCTATTTTTTTAATCACTTTTTTTAATCAATTTAATTTTTTTAATATGAGTAATTCTGAAAAAATTTATTAATTTGCAACTAATTGTACTAATCCCACAAGAGATTTGTTTCAAAACACCACAGATGTTGCATAACATAATTCAGTTATTCCAATGCTTTTAAAACATAATCTTGATACTTTTGCTCCATTATAAATTTAATATTGTGAAATTGCATTTAAGGAAGTCATTAAGTTCCTATTATGCAACAAGTGTTTCTAATTTTCTTGAACTATTTTTTAAATAGTTCTGTTTTAAATATAGTGTATTAAACTGTACCATATTAAAAAAAAACTATAACCTCCTTAACTATAAAAAAAACTGAAAAATGCTAAAATAATGCCAAAATAACTGTAGTATTTCTATATTTGTCAACAAGTCTCAATAGGTTAGTTTTCTTAACAGCTATAATTGTCTGCAATATATGGGCAATATACAAGCAGCTTTTAGTTCAGAATTAAAATATATATATAAATTTTTTGACCATTTTCCAAATAAGTACAACTGATTAACTTAAATGATGTCTAATTGATCTAAAATCAACAACATAAAATACAAATAGAAATTTCGAAATGCTAATACTCTTAATATGCTCACAACAAATACAGCTGCATGTTTAAAAAATCCAGTTTTTTAATTAGCAAATAATAAGTGCATTATTGGAAGCCAGCACCTCTCCAGTTTTACTACTGACCCATATGAATTATATTTTGTTTAAGGAATTGTTGTTCAGAAAATTTAGATCAATAGTCTGATTATGATTTAAAAGTAAAATGATTTCAATCTTTTTACCTTTTGGCAAATAGTGTTTGTAGCTCAAAATAACAGCTCAGCAATGCTTAAAATATTGCTTGATATTTTAAGCATTGTTGCAGTTTTTTTTTTTATTATTATATTGCTTGTTTTTATATTTTATTTGTTTCTACTTTATTTCATAACTGTTCATTTATTATTATTACTAAATATTTTTTATAGGTTTTTTATGTTTGTGTGTGTTTGTGTGTGCCTGTTTGAGTGATGCATATGTGCATTATAATATTGATCAGCAACTATTATACAACCATCTTATTATTTTTACAATTGTTGCTGTTAAATTTATAATATTTTTTATCATTATTTTTTGTATAATATTTCATTTAATGATATATTACATTATTATTTAACAATTTGTAAATGATGATGGCTGTTAATCATTTAAATTAAAATGTTACTAAATAATGCAGTCAAATTTTACACCATTTATGTCATATAAACTATACTAAAAAATAATAGAATGACATAAAATTACTTGGTTTATTTTATATTTATGTAGAATATTATTAGTTCAAATTCATTCATATTGGCATGGTCACAATGATAGTTCAAATATGCTAATATTTATTGTGCACCGATAATCATCATGGTACAAGTTCTTAATAATATTGTCCCATGATGATCATGGTGCAAAATTATGATTTTTAAATTTTTATGATTTTTAATTTTTTAAAACTCATTGAGCCTGCGTGTGCAAAAGTTATTTATTCATATTAGAAGTTATTCATTCATATGAGAACAATTAAAACATTTTGAAAAACATTTTTTTTATTATATTAGGGACCCATTTAATTTTCTAGGGCTTTGGGGCACCTCAAGATAGTTCGCTAGAGCCTTAATATTTTTCAAGAACAATCTTTATATGAATGGACAACTTCTGCACATCAAGGCTAAATGAATTCTGAAAAAAAAAAATTCATTCCACCCTATTCGGTGGTGGAAATTATTTATACTTCGTATTTACTCATATTTATTTATGAAAAACTTTTAATAAACATAAATATTTTTTGTAAAATTTTTTTTCATAAATTTTTAAGTTTACAAAAATTTTATTTCGGTAATATAACCTTGGATTGTGCAGATAGACATCTGAATAAACTGCTGAGCAAAGAAACGTAAGTAATAGCTTTCCTATCATCGTTTTTGTGTGTGTGTGTTTTTGTTTTGTTTGTTTGTTTTCTTTTTCGAAACCAAATTAAGCCAAAAAGAGTCAAATAATATACGATAAAACAATTAGTATGGAAGTATCTTATTTCATATCTGTTTCAAACTAAAAATATCTGAAAAATCATTTTTTTACTTCTAAATTTTTTGCAACAAAAATTTAAAATTACTTTTGTAATTTTAAATGTTTGCAAACGTTTAATACTTTGAAAATAGGTCATTTTTAGTCAGCTATTGACGGAAAAACTCTGTGCGATGGGAATTACTGATTACGATCATTTCAATCGTTTAATCATCCTTATCGCAAAAGGTTACTCTAAATTACATTACATTACATCATAATAGAAAATTATCGTCAGCATTTGACGGAAAAGCAAATCTAATGCAAGTAATTTAAATACCGGCTTTTCAGTTTAAATTCGATTTTTATATCGATATTCTAAATGCTAGAGCAAATCGTTTGTAAAATGGTTTTGCGTAGATTGTGAAACAAGAAATAAAAGACATATTTAAATAGCAAAATATTTAGCAAAATATAAACTTTTTTCAAAAAAATGTGAAAAGCATATGTGAAAACATAAAAGCAACATGTGAAGTCTATGTAAGCCATATACTTCTTTATGGGATGCCAATCTTCTTTATGGGATGGCATCGGTGCGGTCCGTGAGTGACTATAATACATTAATTACATAGCATTAAAACCACGCTAAATTAGACTGAACACGACACTATTTTTCTGTGTGTAAAATACATTTGGGTCTTACACAATAAGTATCTGTAAACAATATTCCTTCCACTCTTTTTTATTGGATAGCGTTATTCCGGTTTATTTTATAATGTTTACACGGCTGATGACCACACTAAATACGAGCGAACGCCGCACTATATTTATCGTTTAGATATCGTTACACGTGAAGCATATGTTGTAAACATGTCAGCCAAATATATATATATAAATATATATATATATAAATATATATATATATATATATATATATATATATATATATATATATATATATATATATATATATATATATATATATATATATATATATATATATATATATATATATATATATATACATATATATTATTTGTTGCTTTGCGTTGAATAGATTCAACCAAAGTTTTATCAGTTTTTAATTAAGAAGCCCAAATAAATTCGCAAATAGACACTTTATAAATATGGTAGGGTCTTATACACATTTTATATAACTTGAGAGCCATATTTCCATCAATGAAAATTAATGTTTTTTTTTTGCATACCAAAAATTTGTAAGGACTTTTCGATTAATGTTTGAAAATGTGGGCTCCATTCGGCGTTATATGAAATAGTGATTCCTAAATTACGCATTATAGTAGAGCTTTTTAGGTATCAACTTGTTATAACTTTTTATTTTGTTTCCCATTTATTCAGAAATATCTTAATTTTAACATAAATCTGTTTTGAGGTAGATAATCGACACTTTGAGGTAGTCGAGATTACATTAATAAACAGGTGAATTACTATAGAAGACGAAACAATTTTAAAAGTCAGCATAGATTATGCGTGAGTATTATTATATTAGTCACGCATAATCTATTCTGAAAAAAGCCATGTTGATTTGCAGAGAGCATTTTATTATCGTTAATGTGCTTAAAGGTTTTGTTCTTAACAAGTTAATTAATTTGTAATTTAACTATTTTGCAGTAATTTGACTATTTTGCAGCTTTATTTTATTAACTTTAGGGATAAAATATTCGCAAACAGTACAATTGTTAGAAATTAATAAGTTAAACAATTGCTCCCCAGTTTTATGCAGAAATAAAATATTCCAGTTGATTGGTGAAATAAAATTTGATATTGAATCGTAATCACCTTTGCTGTAACTAAACAAACGGGAAACGGTTTAAAACTAAAATTCCTCAAGTGATACTAAAGCGGCCCTCAGTATTATTAGCTAATATAGTATTAGGAAACAATTTTAAAATATAATTACTGCTATAAGTAAATAACAAGTCCAACATATGGTTTAAGCAACCATAGGGTGTCTGGACGTAGGAAATGTGATATGTTAAAATTACTGACAACGAAGCAGCCATCATAGGGTTTTCTAATTAAGCTTTGAGCTAGTTTGAAGGATTCAGCAATATATTATATTAAATTAGCATTATTTGGTCTATGTACAACCTAGATAAGTATGTGTTTATTATTATCTTTTACAGATACGAAAACCTGTTTGAGAAAAGTTTTATAGAACTAATTAACTTCATGAGAGATAAATAGATCAGTAATGAAGACAGCTACACTGCCGCCTCGACGTCCGTCTTTGCTATCTTTTTTTTTTAAAGCGAGTTAATGTTTTAATACAATAGGTTTACTATTGTACTTTGCTTTAGAACCTTACGACAACCTACTTACCACTTAACTAAGTTATATATTTATAAGTTAATAAAGTTTGTGTTAACAGTTTGACATTCCTGTGCCTGCTCCTCCTACTCAGCTGGATGATATTGAAAGTGATAACAGCTCAAGTTCTGAAGATAGTAGTGATGTTCTTGATCCTGATTTTAATGCAGATGTCACACCAAAACTTTTTACTCAGAAAAATCTTGATGATCTAGTTCAAGATCTTAACCTTCCAAAGTCATCAGCTGAACTGCTTGCCTCCTGTTTACAAGAACGAAACCTTCTCACTCCTGATACTAGCGTAAGTGTGTACAGATATCGTGAGACAGAATTTATCCAGTTTTTTTCAAGTAAGCAAGAATTGTTGTATTGTAATAATATTGAAGGATTTGTCACATCTATGGGAATTACTTACAATGCTAATCAGTGGAGATTGTTTATTGACTCATTAAAGCGCCATCAGTTCTTCTATTTAATGGAAACAAAGTGTCATCACTTTCAGTGGCACACTCGGTAACATTAAAAGAGACGTATGAAAACATGAAACTGTTGTTCAGTTCGTTGAATTATGACCAGCACAAGTGGTTAATATGTGGATATTTGAAGGTCACAGCCATCATATTAGGACTCCATAGAGGGTATTCAAAGTTTCCATATTTTTTGTGTCTCTGGGATAGCAGAGCAGACTCTGAGCATTATGCCAAAAAGTGTGGCCAGCGAGTGAAGGATTTACTCCAGGAAGTCACAGTGTCAAGTTACAGCTTTTGGTAGCACATCGAATCCTCCTCGCACCATTCCATATAAAATTGGGATTAATGAAAGCTTTTGTCAAGAATATGGACCATACTGGCTCTGGATTTCAAAATTTGTCGGACAAATTTCCACATTTAAGTGAAGCAAAATTGACTGCATGTATCTTTGTTGGACCGCAGATCAGAGAATTAATGAATGATGAGGAGTTTTTATCTAAATTTGCCACAGTTAAACTGTAAGCCTGGAATGCCTTCAAATATGTTGTCAAAAACTTATTATGAAACTTTAAATCAGACAATTACAAAAGTCTTGTTAAGAAAATGGTGGCCAAATTTCAGGCTTTGGGTTGCCGCATGTGTGTCAGGTTGCACTTTTTGGACTCCAACTTTGACTACTTTCCTGAAAATCCTGATGCATATAATGAAGAGCATGGTGAAAGGTTCCATAGAACATTTGTGTAATTGAGAGTCAATACCAAAGTTGTTGGAATGTGAATATGATGGCCGACTATTGCTGGTCATTAAAACGTCATAATCCTGCAACTCATTAGCGAAAATCACTCCAAAGACAATTCACACAGTAGAAGGCAATACAGATATACAAATGTATATATGCTTTTATATTATGCTTTTTTTATTAACCGAAGTACATTTTGTTGCTGGTTTTATTGACTTTTTTCTACATTAACAAATGTCTAACTGCAAAAAATCTCGGCGTGATACAAAAAATTGGATTACATATATGGAATCAGCATAAAAAGTTGTGTAAGAAACACCTATTTGCATATCAGCAGTTTTTACAAAATGAAAATTTGTAGACCAGTGTTATTTAACTTTTTTTAATTTAATAACAAAAGAAAACACAATTACATAGCATGGCCTACTAAAATACACGGCTTAAATTGAAAAAAAAATAGACCAGTTAAAAAAACGCATATTCCATTGGATAGACAAACTTTCTCAAAATATTTTAATTATTGCACTGTAACTTTTAAGTAAGTAAATCTAGCACTGGATAAAAGTTTTTGCGATGGATTATTAGCAATATCTACTAATAGGTATGTGACATGAAATTTTTTAACAAATCAAGTATTAGATTGTTATATATCATGGGAAAGACCTTGAAAACAGTATTTTAATGATGAAAATTATCAAAATCAAACAATTCAACAAAAATTTAAAGCGTTTTAAGTACTAAATTTATGTTATATGGATTTGTTGAAGAAACCATGACCAAATATTAAGTTTTTTTGAACTTAAAATGTCATAACTTTATCCATTCTTATCAAAATTCTTACAACTTGGTACCAAAAGAAAGGTCTTAAAATGGAGAATCAGGATACAGAAAAAAAATGTATGAGGCGCGTCCATACCACACTTAAAAGGGTGTCGAGAACACTCTTTAGTATGTTCAAAAACAAGGTCTTTTTACAGAAAATTTGAATTTTTTTTTAACATTTTTTAATTTAATTTAAAACTAAAATTCCAGCCCACCAATCAATGCAATTTGGGTACTTCGGGTTGGGTGGGTGGAAGCCAACTTGGCTTCGGGTGGTAGTAGATGCGCCTTTCTACCCATCGCCACTGCCAAATCATTTTATTTTTATATATAAATGTATTAAATTTAGTGTAAAAAAAGAAATGTTTTTGAGATAACAAATACATATTTAACGTGTAAAAAGGGTGCAACAAGGAAAATTTTGCACCATCTTCCCCCCTCCCCCCTTCCCTCCCCCTCCCCCCCCCCCTCCTTCCACAAACCTATATTAAGTAAAAGCAAAACTTAAGTAAAATAATCAAAAAATGAAAATAAAGAAAAAATTGTTAAAAAATTATTTTAGAGGTTTTCTTAAGAATTGTTGGCGGTAGGTGGCAGAGATGGTTGACGCCAATGAAGTTGGCGTAAATCTGAAAAAAGTCAGTAACTTTAGTAAAATTACTAAATTTTCATATTGACCTGTCTATACATCTACTTTAAAAAACAAATAAAATAAGAAACTAATAAAATACCAAAACTAATTTGTTCTGCAGCAGCTAAATTAAAATTAATTTTTAGATC